AGCAGTGTGTAATCCACTACCAGAGAAGTCTCAAGTTACACTGTATTGTTGTAATGTTGGATATTACTTGAAGGAAAATGTTAAGCAAAAATTTAACTGTATTTTGAATCAATAATTTTTTTAATGAATCAGATACATTATTTTAATACTTTATTAATATGTGTCTTACCCCAGTATGAGATTCTTTCATGAGCTAAGTATAGACATATGATGAATTAGCATGCAAGGATGATATTCTAATTATGCTGTTGTATATTTGAGCATTCATTGACTTGACACTGTACATCTTTAGAATTAATTCAGACTAGGAAATGGTGGTTAAATCTTGTCAAATCTGACAGATTTTAGAGATTTTCCCACACTATGTCAACATTCCTCTTTCTCTGATCTTTCTCTTGACTTTCTAAGTCCCTACTGATATTACACTCCATCATCCCTTACTTAGGGTACATATATATGGACATTTAAACATGGGGTGGCTAATTACCCCACTGATCCCTTTGGTCCTTTGTATAACAACTACCATTGGAGCCACCAACACCAGCATGCTCTGTAGCTCAAGTGATGGCTACCAAAAGACTGAAGCAATTATTGAATTAATGACCTGCGTGATAACTGATCAATCTGGCCATAGATTCCCTTATTATATCATTCAGGCTTTATTTAAATGATACAGGTTCAAAAGAATGTTTGAAAGTACAATTTCCTACCCAGTGATCAAAACTAAAACTGGGCATAGAAAGTAGAGATATAAAAAGCCACATTAACCCTTAATTTTCAAATCATTAAAAAGTTTAATAAACTTTGCTGTAATCTGTCTCTAACTTGTACAAAGATTTCCAAGGTGATGAAAGCATGCTCTCTCAAATAGGTGAATACCTGAATACTTTTGATGTGTGGTATAAACATTACAGTTCGTTGTGTTTTTAGGTTGTCAGTAAAGATGCATTAGGTCATTTTTGTTAGAGGCAAACATTATAATGGGAAAATATCCTTTATGATCAATATCTAGTATTTTGAATCGTTTGAATTCTCTGAATTACCGCCATCAATTCTGTTAACGATTACATTGCATACTGCTAATTGAATAAAATGTACCGACATCATCTTTTCGTTAGATTGGAAATTGTTTCCGTTTTTAAATATCTTTGACATTTCCTCACATTGAATAATTTCTTTTTCTATTGAATATTTTTCGGTGCTACAGAAAACCTGAAACTTAATTGGAACATAACTGATTTAAAATTGCAAGTCCCAAGAGTGTCCACTAAGTAAGATATGGGAGATAAAAGCAACATAAAGGTATAACCTGAGTCTTGAAATTCAAAACTTGCCCTGTTGGGTATAAAATACATAACATGTATCATAAAGGCCAACTTGTTTTGCACAGGTGAGGCCTGCTGTCACCTGTCGACACAGCTAGGATAGGTAAAACTTTTAAGTCATTATATCTCACTGTCATTTCTTAAACTTCACTTTTCCCGTGAGAAAATTACTGAAGCGTGGATACAAACGATTCTAGTTCATCCTTGTGTATCCAGATTACCGTAGCATATAATGACCATATCTCCCCCTTCTGTATGCTCTATACAAATGATGGGGCCTATAATAAACCCACACCACTGGAACAACATGCTGCTATATATTTTCAATAAACAAGTGCTATTATGGAAAAGTTTCACTTTGTGCTTTTTTGTATTGAAGGGGACCAATTACATGTGAAATTGTTCATTTGATTGTAAGAAAGAGACAGTGAAATTTTACGACTTGGTACAGAGAAGATGTAATTTGTGTTAACAGCGCCATTGCACACAAAGTGACTTTATATAATAATATGTGTGTGTGTGTGTGTGCGTGTGTATAATATAAAAATCTGGCAAATGAGAATTATATTTACATGATGTACAGTCCCTCAGTTGATTGATGTGCGTACACTTGGGCTCTCAAGTACATTGTGATGTAATTAATTATTTTCTGATTTCTTGAATTTCATTATTTTTAATTGATCGTAAGAGATTATTTTTAAATCTGCATGTGATAGAGTGCAGCCTGGTGTCTGTGATGAAGTACATTAAAAAAAAAATACAAATGACAAAACACTTCCAAAAATAAAACAAACTGCAATATGTATACAGCAAGAATTCATTCTTTTCAAATTTGCACACTTATGGTTGTGTTTATAATGCTTTTCAAATCTAAATAGGGATAAACCAATTTCTGATAGAAGAAAATATTTTTTTCTCATATGTACTAACCTTTCAGTGTTCTGGTTGTTAATGTCCCTGGTTTTTTGAATATATCAATATGCAACCTTTTGACCTTTCTGTTTAAAAGAGCTTTAGTTTGGTCTGGAAAAAAAAGATTAGGATTGAGTTTCTGCTGTTATGTGCATAGGATCCAAGACATTCTATACTAAACTGATCTTGACCAATTTTTTTTAACAATAATTGAAAACTTGTTCATTCAAGTGAAGGTCATCATCAGTGTAACTATGGTCTCTAATCATTGGGTGGATCTTCTATCGTGTGAACATTTACAAAGGGCAATCAAAGATGGGCAAAAGTCATGAACTGCCTTGAAAAAGTGGGAGTGCATATTGTACTTTCATAGCAGCATCAAGTATACCAGGAAAACATTGCCTTTATGCACAGAACAACAGCATCAAGTATACCAGTAAAACATTGCCTTTATATACAGAACAACAGCGTCAAGTATACCAGTAAAACACTGCCTTTATACACAGAACAACAGCATCAAGTATACCAGAAAAACATTGCCTTTATACACAGAACAACAGCATCAAGTATACCAGTAAAACATTGCCTTTATATACAGAACAACAGCATCAAGTATACCAGTAAAACATTGCCTTTATACACAGAACAACAGCATCAAGTATACCAGGAAAACATTGCCTTTATATACAGAACAACAGCGTCAAGTATACCAGGAAAACACTGCCTTTATATACAGAACAACAGCATCAAGTATACCAGGAAAACATTGCCTTTATATACAGAACAACAGCATCAAGTATACCAGTAAAACATTGCCTTTATATACAGAACAACAGCGTCAAGTATACCAGTAAAACACTGCCTTTATACACAGAACAACAGCATCAAGTATACCAGAAAAACATTGCCTTTATACACAGAACAACAGCATCAAGTATACCAGTAAAACATTGCCTTTATATACAGAACAACAGCATCAAGTATACAAGTAAAACACTGCCTTTACATACAGAACAATAGCATCAAGTATACCAGTAAAACATTGCCTTTATACACAGAACAACAGCATCAAGTATACCAGGAAAACATTGCCTTTATATACAGAACAACAGCGTCAAGTATACCAGGAAAACACTGCCTTTATATACAGAACAATAGCATCAAGTATACCAGTAAAACATTGCCTTTATATACAGAACAACAGCATCAAGTATACCAGTAAAACATTGCCTTTATATACAGAACAACAGCGTCAAGTATACCAGTAAAACACTGCCTTTATACACAGAACAACAGCATCAAGTATACCAGAAAAACATTGCCTTTATACACAGAACAACAGCATCAAGTATACCAGTAAAACATTGCCTTTATATACTGAACAACAGCATCAAGTATACCAGTAAAACACTGCCTTTATATACAGAACAACAGCATCAAGTATACCAGTAAAACATTGCCTTTATATACAGAACAACAGCATCAAGTATACCAGTAAAACACTGCCTTTACATACAGAACAATAGCATCAAGTATACCAGTAAAACATTGCCTTTATACACAGAACAACAGCATCAAGTATACCAGTAAAACATTGCCTTTATATACAGAACAACAGCATCAAGTATACCAGTAAAACACTGCCTTTATATACAGAACAACAGCATCAAGTATACCATTAAAACATTGCCTTTATATACAGAACAAAAAACACTGCCTTTATACACAGAACAACAGCATCAAGTATACCAGAAAAACATTGCCTTTATACACAGAACAACATCATCAAGTATACTAGTAAAACATTTCCTTTATATACAGAACAACAGCATCAAGTATACCAGTAAAACACTGCCTTTATACACAGAACATCCTTCATCTACTCTGTACTCTTATTGTGGGATCTTTCCTTTTGGGTGGCTCACATTGTAAGACTTCATTCAGCTTTTTCTGGTGAACTCCCTGAATACCTTAGCACCTGTTCCAACAAGACATCCAGTAAAAAACCCTCATAAACCAGGATGCTGTGCAATCAAATGCAGTTTAAGTCACAATTTTATCAATACACAACTTGAGAAAATCCTAAGCAAAGACTTCAGTGCTTGTTCTGTAGTTATGGCATGTTACAGTGTTTGCCAACTTCAGATACAACTTTGTTGTATTTCCATCACTCCAACTCAAGTGTGGATAATTTTTGTTAACAATATCTCACTTGACAACTGATCTACAATTACGGTTTTTGTCAACATCTCAGAAATATTAATAAATTCTTGCATTCACTTGTTATTCCATATTAAATGTCTGTATTGAATTAGTAAATTATTTGTCTAGCTTTTAATTGAAGTGGTCTACATCAAACCTTGTGTTGATATTATGTACAAAATTGATTATTATTTCTGTAATAAAGAATCTGTCTGTTTTATCCTATGTCAGGGTCCTGGGATATATATACAAAAATTGCAGTTTTCTGAAGAACATGATTCATTAACACTTTGCATTTCTATTTTGAATACTTTATTTCTGCTTTTATATTGGCCGATTTTTCTTGGAAACATTGCTTCTATAAAACATCAGATCACAAAACTCATGAAGACCATAAAATGTTATAAATGAAATATTGAAGTTTTAGTAAGAATCCGAAATATGTATTGAATGAATGCTGATAAAATAATTCTACCTGTCAGTATAAACCTGTAAAATTATTGGTGTACCTAGTGAAATAAATTCATAAATGCTAACTTTTAATTGATAAATTTCTGACAGGTGCTCCTATGGATGGCAAGGTGCTCTCTGTGATCTATGTATCCCCTACCCTGGATGTAAGCATGGTTCCTGTAATGGTTCCCCCTGGAGCTGTGTCTGTGACATGAACTGGGGAGGGATATTGTGTGACAAAGGTAAGTCTTTTCTTATTCATCTTGACCTAGATAAGAGATTGATTGATCATACAAAATACACACAGAGTAATACACACAGCTCTAAAATAATATGCCACTCAATCTAATGTATCATTGGAGGCAAAAAAAAATGTAAATGTCCAAGAGACCAAAACAAACAAACAAACAAACAACAACAATAGAACAAACAAAGAACAATGCTCATCTTTGGGTATCTTAACTGAGAAACTGAAATTTACATTTATTCATGAATGATTTGGAAAAAGTTTGGTTGCTATAGGAATTTAAAGGAGATGAACAAATCAAAGGTTAACCCACAAACACAAAATGATCATAAACAAACTTAGATATCTGAAAATCTTTTTTGATTAACTCAATAAAGAGCTGAAAGTACGAAAACATGCTAGCCAAAAATATTATCCTTATATATATTTAATGAAAACCATTATGAACAAAATTAGGTCAGCCATAGAGATTATCAAAGTACAACTATTATTATTATAATATACAAGGTGCAGGCTACATATGGATCTAGAAACATATGTACTTAATACCATAGTCATTTTACTCTTGTAGCAGTCAAGAAGGGTCAGTGGATAAAAAGTGCACATTAATGGCCAAATTTATCTGCCTTTTATTACTGTCATATGATATTTTTATCAATTCTGAAGATGATTCACAACACAGAGACAACATGTGATTGATTTTACAGGTTTTTCATTGGCTATAGTTATCATTTAATGATCACATTAAAATTCCCAGCATCCCTTCAAAAAGGCATGGAAGATTCACAGCTTTAACTGAAAAGTTCTTGCTTTCTGTGAAAAAATATAAAATACAATTTCTGACTGATATTGAAAGGAATATGAAGACACTGATGATGGTCATATATTTCTGAGGATTTCCTTGAATTTTTCATTAAATTTTCCATCAAGGAAATCAAACACCAAGCAGCAGAAACTGATCAAAAGCTGGAATATTGAGGTCGGAATTGATGAGTCAAATAACTGTTAATGTCTTCCTTACTTTGTTAAAACTTGAAAGAAATTACATCAGAAGATTTTAAGGCAAGAGATTTTCAATTTGTTATAAACTTTGTGGCATTTAAAGGTGCATAAAGAAAGTTATACTTGATAAAAAAGAATTTTAGGATAAAATTCAATTTATAATGATTATGTTTACATTCCCTCTCTGTGAAATGAGTGTTTTACCACACCTAACTTCTTTGACTGCTGAGGGTTCATCACTTGCTTGCTAATGGGCCTATCCTGTGAAGGGAGGGCATTTTGACCTTAGAGGTGAAAGATCCATGTGATTGCTTTTCCACATGGAAAAATAAGAGAAAATGGAATTCAAATCAAACCGTAGATTTCAGCATGCTTTTATAGAGAAAGCTTCTGACCTCCATAAAATGTCATATCTTAGTAGTATATTAATGAAAAAACCCAGTAGGGATTTTAAGCATGATTTGGAGAAATATACTCTTCTTTCAACAGACCAATTTTAACTTTTGAAGTTTTTGCTTTTGGGGGGATTTAAATAAAAAATGGCTATCAGTACACAGGGGTCTGAAAGCTCCTCCAGTACAAAAGAGGCAGACAGTTTTATGGTTTACCTGAACCAAACATTCTGAAATTGGCAACACTATAACAAAACTAATTAAATTTTATTTATCAAAAACAGTGAAAGGAAAAACATGTCTTTTTCACTTAAAAGTATTATAGCAATTGCATTTAAATTCATTATCCCCACTTACATAGAAGTTTTTAAGGTGGGATGAAATACAGTGCTTAGTTGTGTTGTTGATTTTCTGTATTGTCTGTTTAATAATTATTTATTTCCTATAGACATAAGTAAAATAATTACAATAAATAAAAACCTTGTCTTGGCTAATATATTGTAATGTAAAGATTGCAATATCTTATTCATATTTCACATATACATGTGCACTGTAAACATACTCTTTTTCCAAGGGGTCATGATTCAATCCAGGGGGTAGAAAATTAATATGTGGATTTCTTAAGATTGCTACAATGTGCTGAAAGTATGCTCAGACAAATTTCTGTGGAAAATTTGTGACAGCTAGCATACATAGCATAAATTAACACCACAAGGAAAAAAAAGTACTTCTAAAGTAAATTATTTACCTACGATAAATATAATAATATTTTATAAATCAAATGAATTTTTGTTTTAAGATTTAAATTATTGTGGACGTCACCATCCCTGTCAGAATGGAGGAATTTGTAAGAACACCGCTCCGGACAGTTACCAGTGCACCTGCTCTGAGGGGTTCTTGGGAGTCAACTGTGAAATTGGTGAGCTATCTCTCTCCTTGTTACCTAAGCAGTGAAGAAGATATAGAATCTTAATCAGAATTTGAGATTTTGTATTAAGTCATCTACTTTTTAATCAGCTGAACATGCATGTTCGACCCAGCCGTGTAAGAATGGTGCCAGCTGTATTGACACAACAGGAGGTTTTATCTGTACCTGTGCCCCTGGCTGGACAGGTGCATTCTGTGAAGACAGTAAGTAAAAATAAAGGTCAAATTTATCATGACCTTCATATAGTTCAACAGAAATAGCTGAGCATAGATGGTATTGATATAGGTATTTTGTGACTTGAGGAAAAGCTATGACGTATTATGCAATAACAATCATGTTACCATCAAGAGTTCATCTAAATTGGTTTGAAATCGTGTGATATATATAAAAAGCAGTTTATTTAATTTCAGACTAGTTTTGGGTAATGACATGACATTTATAGTAAACATGGGTTTCCATCATCACTTCATTCACTTTTGTACTGTAGATGTCAGTGAGTGTGCTTCAAATCCCTGTCTCCATGGCGGCACATGTGTCGATGGTGTCAACAGTTACAGGTGCCTCTGTCCCCCGGGGTGGGGCGGTGCTCACTGTCAGCTTGACTCAGATGAGTGCAGTGGTAGTCCCTGTGTAAACGCTCATTCCTGCGAGGATCTACAGGGTGGATACAAATGTCATTGTCAGATAGGATGGACTGGCAAGAAATGTGACCAAAGTATGTGTAAAAATATCACAGATATGAAAAGGAACAAGCAGACCAAAATTTCATAAGATGTATGACTCAGAACTAGACCAAAGCTTAGAGTAAAAATTGTGCTGTCTAATGCATTTCTGACTCATTTCATGTACTACATCAAAAATTATTTCATTGAGAAAATTTAATAAAAATTTATGTTAAAAAATATGGGGGTTGTCAACATTGAGAGGAAATGGACCATATTCATATAAGTTTAAGAATCAAATACTGAGACAATTAAATGTTCAAATAAGTTTAGGAAGCAAATATGAGAATATAAAAGTTGAGAACAAGTAATTGGCCAGTAAACTTTGGGTGCAGTTCTTGTCAGCTTAGTTCAGAACTTTATTTTGGGATAGAATATACAAAACCCCAAATTTGCTTCAAAAAGCTGCCAATTTCTTCTTCAATATTACAAACATTCAGCCATATCTCAAAACAAATTTATGCAAAAATTTGGAAAGCTTTATTGCAGCCCATCCGTCATTGTGTGTGGTCAGTGAAAATGCAGTAACAACAAATATTGTTGATACAATAGGATATTTTATAAATCATTTATCTATGAAATGTTAAATGTCATTTGATTCTGATTTGATGGGTCTATTAATGACTACATTGATTGAGTTTATTACTCTATTTTCACAGACATTAACGACTGCCATCATCAATGTCAAAATGGAGGGCACTGTGTGGTAAGGGTTGTTCTAAAATTCTAATCACTCACCAACATATTACTGTCTTTGTGTGATTTAGGTGCCTGCATTTTGTGAATCATGCACCTCCCGAAAGAATTAAGGCATCTTAAAAATTTCATTCACAAAATTGATGCCATTCATGAAAAGCCTTTAAAATGCTGAAATGGGTACATTTTGTATCTTTGTTATTAAAAATATTAAATTAAAAATCAAGACAGCCCAGACTGCACAAAAATAGGAAGAAAGCCATGTATTACAAGAAAGATAACTCATTCAAATTTTCAGCATTATATATTTAAGTAATTTATGTTTCAGGACCTGGTGAATTCGTACCACTGTGCGTGTCTCCCGGGTTACACGGGTCGTCACTGTGAGACAGAGATCTGTGAGTGCTGTAGTTCACCTTGTCAGAATGGGGCTACGTGTCATGAACAGGTAGCCGGTTATACCTGTGAATGCCAGGTGGGATATACAGGATTTAACTGCCAGGTAAACACTCTTCTATTCCTAGCCATACTAGCTCTTTGCTATAAATTACCATTATTTGCTGTTAAATATTTTTTTCTGTCTCCCATCTACATGTAGATTGATGTAGATCCATGCCACCCCAATCCATGCATGAATGGTGCCAGTTGTTTCAATGTCCAGGGAGATTATTATTGTCACTGCTCAGACCATTGGGAAGGGAGGCACTGTGAAAACACAAGGTCAACATGTGTATCCGGGTCATGTCAAGGTTAGTCAATATCTGAACAAATTCCTCAGAAATTCTGGTCAATGTAAATTTGGATTCAGGAAGTTTAATAATATGATCGCAAGAAATTCTTGTTTGATGGAAACAAGGTAAGCAAAAAAACAATGATGTCTGCCAAAATTATGCAAGAAGCTGAATCAAGCACATTTCTCACATCTGAAATACAAACTCACTTCATGATACAGACAGCCAGACCTGGGGGAACATGAAATTAGGCGTCACTTTTTTGTATGAAGAGAGATGATGTAAGAATTCGGCAAGACATTAAAGACACTCTTGGGTGTCAAGATATAATATTGATACAAGTCTTATTCATAGTTGCCAAAGAGCTGAATCAGGGGTGACAAATCTGATAACTAGAGAAATGTCTACAAATTCTATATATAGAGCACTTACACAGGTAACCATGTGTCACTATCTATTGCAGTGATAGACAGCTGTACTATTGCCCTACAGTCTAACCATACAGAGACGGGCGGAGTTCAGCTCATCTCCTCAAACGTGTGCGGGAAGCACGGCATGTGTATCAGTAAGCCTGATGGTGGGTTTACTTGTGCATGTGACCTTGGCTTTACGGGGACTTACTGCCAAGAGAGTAAGCTCTATTTCATGTTACACAACCAGACACAAGCTTGCCCAAATTTCCTAATTTCCAAAAAGAAGCAATATTACATGTACTTACAATAGTGTAAAAGTATCTATTTAAATTATTTATCTAAAATTGTGAATAAATTGGTATCATTCCTCCTTATAGATGTAAATGATTGTAAAGAGAACCCGTGCCTTAACGGGGGCACCTGTATCGATGGCATCAACAACTACCAGTGTATTTGTAAGGAGAGCTGGGAGGGAGTTCACTGTAATATCAGTAAGTTTTCCTTCACTATTCAATAAAATATGAAGAGAAATCCAAGAAGTTTCACAAATTCTTGTATTTTTGCAGATAAGAATGAATGTTCACCCAATCCTTGTCGTAATGGGGGGTTTTGTATTGACTTGGTGGCAGACTTTGTTTGTGAATGCATCAATGGCTGGAAAGGGAAAACATGCACACTCAGTAAGTATCATGATAGATATGTACTGTATATTGTTGAGAGGACAAAGATAAACTTGATGTACAGTTTATGATTAATTTATGACAGGAGATTCTCAGTGTGACAGAGACACATGTAAGAATGGGGGCACCTGCAGTGATCTTGGAGATACATTCACCTGTAACTGTCCAAAGAAATATGAAGGCAGCACTTGTCAACTCTGTAAGTTACTTCTCCACTTCACACATTTGAAGAAAAAAAAACATACGCTATATTTCCATCCAGTCCCTCCCATTTTCCCGTATTCTGTTGTAGCATCAGTCAAGGCGTGCGATTCTTCTCCCTGTCACCATGGTGGGACCTGTGTCAACAGTGGAGACAGTTTTACTTGTATCTGTAAGGATGGGTATGAAGGACCACTGTGTGAAGCTGACATCAACAATTGTAACCCTTTTCCATGGTACACAGCTTATTCTTCAATATTTAACTAGAAAACTGACCAGTCAGCAAGGGCCCCGCCGAGGGGTAAATAAGAGTGCAGCTTACAGAATGAGAATTTAATTGATTAGAAAAATTTAAAAATATATGAAGAATATACAATAACAACTTTCTTTATAAAATTTTGAGATAATTCCTAAATATCCAACAACCTGTAAAGAGTATCCCTGTATTTACATAGGGCAGTAAAAAACATAATATCTATAATAACTCAATTAAATGTATATTCAAACAAGAATAAAGCATGTGTTTTCAAATATCACCAAATCTTGACCTTAACTTCAAAACAAACATCAGTTGCAGACAAAGGGTAATTTATCTTAAAGTGACAAATAAAGATAAGCCTGGAAAATTTTCTGCCCAAGACAAGATAATTAATTGTACTGCTCTCTTATCCTTTTCTTCCTAGTTTACAATAAGAACTCTTTCAGTAATGATAGAATGAGTTTATTATTGGACTACCCGTTAAAATTAATAGTATTCTTATAAATAAATAAAAACAAAAAAATAAAAAAACATATCTTTATGTATATCTTGTTTTTAGAATTCAATAAAATCATAACTCATTGTATATTTTACCAATATAAAGTATGAACATTATTTAAATCCACATTTCATAGAATGTAAACATCATTCAGAATTGACCTTAACTTCAAAACAAACTTCATTTGTAGACAGAGGTGTTAATTAATCTCAATTTGACAGAAACAGATAATGCTTTGGATTCTCTTCAAGAGGAAAGTTAATTAATCCCATGGGACTAGTTGCAGCTTTCATAGTTTACAACTGGAACATTCTCAGCAGTTATCTCTCTTTGCCCTAGCATTCATTCTAATGGAAAGTTTAGGAATCTACCCCACCACCCCAGCTCCAAACTGGGTGACATAGAGAACCAAACTTAGCATCAAAATATGTCTTACTGCCTCTTCAACCAACATACCAAATTTGAACTTAATTGGTAAACTACAAAAAAAGTTATTAGAAAAAAACAGAAAATTTGTGGACGGAAGAATGACAGACGGACAGACAGACAGAGTGATTACTATAGGGCACCCGCAAATCCTTGCAGGGCCCTAATAAGACCTGTGTAAATCAACAAGTTTTTAGATAACTTGTGTACATGTATTCTGATATTTTTTCTCCAGTTACAATGGTGGCCGTTGTATTGATGGGATCAACTGGTATAGATGTGAATGTGCTAAAGGATTTGCTGGGCCTGACTGTCGAGTCAGTAAGTCAACTCCAACATTTGTATAAAGGACATTGTATTGGTTATTTTAAACTGTTTTATTACACATTGTACATTATGTGAATTTAAACAACTTCATCAGTGCTGTCAAATTCCATGCATACTATAACTTGTATTTTTCAGACATCAATGAGTGTGCCTCTTCTCCCTGCACTTTTGGCAGCACCTGTATTGATGGTATAGGTGATTACAAATGCATCTGCCCACCTGGTCGGACGGGTAAGAAGTGTGAGGAAGTTGTGGGACAGATTCCCTCTCCCCTTTCATGCGAGTTCAATCGAAGAATTTACTCAGATCAAACCACATGGGAACATGAGTGCAACTCCTGTACTTGTTCTAATGGCGAAATCAAATGCAGCAAGGTACTGTAAATAATCTACACTCAAGGCTCAATAGTATTTCTGCACTTTCACTTTCTGCTACATAATCCTGTACAAATCTTCTATTTTTCTAAATTTTACAAAAATTTAATACAGGTATAATTATTGTTATCATGAAATTTGTACAAGATATGCAGAATTTATTTAAAATTTAATTATAATAAAAGTAATTTGACTCCTTAGGCCAAAAAAAAAGTCTTGTTTCCTGCTACCCGACCTACCCTATTTTTTTGCACCCGACCCTAAAGTTTTTTTAAGTTTTGGAAGAAAAAAATCATGATTTTCTGGAATTTCATCATCCTGTCACAGACACTGTAATCGGTTTCTGTGTTAACACAAAACAAGCATTTCATGAAATTCTTGTTTTAAATATGAACTTTCATAAAATACCACTTGAGTTGTGCATAAAAAGACATGAAATTTAATTTTAAAAGACAATACTGACCTGTGACATGTTTAATTTGATCTTGTATTAGTTCATATCCAAAAAATGCCGTCGAAAAAAATATGATAAAAAAATAAAATGAAATAATTTTCCTACCTACCTACCCTATTTTTTTTCAGACTGGTAGCAGGAAACAAGACTTTTTTTTTTTTTTGGCCTTATCTTTATGTATTTTAATGTGGATTTAAGATTCAATTCTTAGTAACTGTTAGACTTCTGTAGTTTTGATTAATAGGAATTCATATAAGATGAAGGCTCAAACAAAGTCCTTATCCCAGTAAATGTTAAAAACTGTAATACTTAACCAAAAAAAAAAAAAAAAAAAACAGTATCAACTTTATATCTAGACATGGTGCACGATTTGTAAAATTTTTTATAGTGTAACTGTAAATCACTTTTTATTTGCGAGAACATTATTTTTGTGTAATTACGTGTCTGCATGTGAAAATTTCATTTTCGCATATATTAGAATTATTGAAGAATACATAAAAACAATAACCAAAATTTGTGAAAATTTTGGCTTGCTTCTAAATACCAAACAACTATCATCCAAATATAAGGGTTGCTAAAATTGTGATGTACATAAGCTGCAGTAAAAATATTTTTGCAATGTTTTTAAATTAGAAAGTTTGGAATGAATTTAAAATAAAATAAGTAAGTAAAAATAAATACTTTTGATCCCATGTTGCATTCCATTTGTAAATTATTAGCTTGTTTTTTTTTGTTTTTTTTTTTTGACATCTTTTGTTTGTATCTTTCATATAATAATTAATTTGAGTTACTTCTTGGTAATTATTAAGAATACTGTATTTTTTTACGAATAACCTTATGAAATTGCAAGTTCTCCATAACAAAATGGGAATTACAGGAAGTTTTTCCCCCTTTCCAAATTCATGTTCATCAATTGCCATGCATATTGCACTGATTTGCATTGACTACATTTAAGAACCATTCTTGATAAAAAAAAAAATTGACATTAATAGGAATTTTTTATCCATCCCAAAATAATTGCTAGTACACCTGTGCTATATATATTATCACAACGTCTTGTAAATATTTGCTGCTAATATTTCAGATTTGGTGTGGACCAAAGAACTGTATCTCCCATCAAAATACAACAGAACACTTAGAGGTCTGCAGTCCACAACAATCCTGTGTGGTTCAAACTGAACATAACTGTTTTGTTCCCCCTTGTCTTCCCTGGGGACAATGCAAGGATTTGGACAAAATCACAGACCCTTTTTCTCACAGTATTGATACAAAATGTGTACCAAATGCAGCAGAACTCGGAAACAGCTGTGCCAAAATCACACTAATCTTTGAGCTTATGAAAATGCCAGTGGTAAGTTTCTTATCCTAAAAAATTCTAGCCTATTCAATAAATTTTCATAGAATGGTTAAGCTAAGACACCAAGATGCTTTCTTTTCATATAATTTTTTTTTATCAAATTGGTTAATCTGCTAACTGACTGTAATTTATTTTAAAGACCTCTGGGGTAGTAAAGATTGTCACTAGTCTCACTTTTCTATTTATCAACGAAAACCCAAAAAGAAATGAAAATAACGCTATAAAGTTATGAATTATGTATGTTTTTAAAAATTTGTTATAAAAAGACAAAATTATGATATCTACTATTTGGAGAATGAAAATCAGTCTCTTATAAATGAGAATTCCTTATAAAGTTGTATCCAAATTCATTTTAATATGCATTTTTTGGTGAATAAATTTTCAAGAATATTGCTGAGTTTCACAAAAACTTCATTCAAACTGCAAAGCTGTACCTGTGCTTGTACTAAAAAGGTTTTAACGAAATAATTTTTCATTTTGCTTTTAAGGGCATCACAGTGGAGTATATATGTGACACTCTGCGTCAGTTCTCGGTCATTCGAGATTTGTCACATGATCAACAGATATACATATTATGTGGGATCCAGTCTGGTCATCCAGACACTATAGAAGTGCTTATAGTAAGTCCAATGCTTACCTTACAAAGCTTAATTTCCATTTCTTATGAAGATAGAATGGAGAAATTTGGAAACCTTCATGTGGTAGTCCTGACAATTAATAAATGACACTCATTTATCATGTTACTAGCTGGACAAAATACTAGTATAAATTGAGTATATGATAATTACCCAGATTTAGATGCCTGGAAAGTAATAAATTTGTGAAGGGGAGTAACTCACCTCTCACTCTTGTTTCAGTCTTCTGAGAGTTTGTCAGGAAATACTGATGAACTGGATCCAGAATTAAAATCTGCAGTCCATAAACTGACCAGTATTATCAGCCACAAGAAGTCCAATAGCAGTGCTTTATCTGCCGTCACAGAAGTCACTGTGGAAACTATTATAGTCAACTCTGCTGAAAAGTCAAGTAAGTCCCACATCAACAAATGATATACTGTAGTTCATTTGTAAACACATTAGTATGAGTTTATCTTTTGCTAAAAATACTCTTTTGTATTTTATTTTTTGATAATTTTTCACAATATCAGTGACTTTATGCATATTTCTCAGAAAAGGTAAAATTCATGAAACAAATCTGGTTTTACCCTACATTTTTCCACAGAAGCAGGGCTGATCATTCCAGTGGTGTGTTCTGTGATTGGACTTGTGGGACTTTTAGTAATTATTGTGTTAATTGCATGTCATCTCCATCGTAAGAAAATGATCGCCAGGAGGCGAGCAGAAGCACAATATGCAGAACAGAAAACAAACAATGAAAACGAAGAAAATCTTCGACGTTACAAAAACCCTCTGTTTGCTGGGACTGACAAAGGAGGAGGGACAAGCAAGGTTTCTGCATCTGAATTTCATGAAATGGATTTAGATAAATGTGAAAATATAGAGAAAAGTCCCACAAGGCTACTCAGTGGGCGATCCGATTCGCCAAATGATTCCAATGATTGGAATAATTCTAGTCCTCCATCAAAAAACATTACAAAAGACATAAACATTGAGATTTCACGATCCAAAGCCAGAGTAAGGGCTGCAGAAAGAGAGCTCATAGAAATTTCACGGACTATTGCTGCAGATTTACGGTCAGAAAATGAGGTCATGGTGTGACCTTATACCTAACGTGCAGAAGACATATTAATGGATCCAAAATGTTTTTCATGTAATTCTCAATCATTTATATTTGTGAACATTAGCAGTAGACGATGGATCTCAATTTTTTTTCTCTCCTCTGTGCCATGCCTATAGCGTCAGTTGTCACCAACTCGTGACTTATCTCAGTCATTTCCTGAGATTTAAAGACATCTTTTATTTATTAAGTGCTTATTCACTTGATGTGACTTCTCAGTGTTGTTTGCAAATTTTCCCCCCATGCAGAGAAGCAATGATGTACATTTAATGCTCATTTTGTTTGTCCGTCCCATCAGAACAAATGCACTTAAAGTTTTTTAAATCTGAAAGAGCAGGAAGACAGAAAAAATGGTTGAATTGTCTTACCAGCTCCATATGCTTTCTTTAATCACATAGCTTAAAATTAAGAATATTGAAGACCATCAGTTTAGTAAACTATTCATAAGTAAAATTTCTACTAGCTTTTTGTTTACCTTTTTTTTTTTTACAGATATATAAATTGATAATGATTTATTTAAAAAAATATGTACTGTATATCAAATATATTTGAAATTCTGCGAGTCCACATTCTGCTTTTGGTTGATCTTTTACACTTTTGTCCATCAAACATCAGTTGCTACAGGTCCTTGATATGGAAAGGGTATTGATAAATTGCAGACAAAAAATCTCTTGAATCATCCATAAATTACACAGAAAACAACTGGCATGGCACAATGTCATAACTCAGGTAAATAATAAAATTGTATCAAATTATCCTGTTGATATTATTATCAAGTAAATATTCTCAGTTCTCTCCACTAAAACACAGTATTTATACAGAAAAATCAGAGATCTTTCTGCTGCAGAAATAAAAAAAAGGCAGCAGACTTTGTACACTTCACCCCATCAATATTTATCCATACATCCATTGAAGTACCTGCTAAGCAAAACACAGTCATAGGGCAAACATATATCTTCATACTTTCTCCCATGTTTTTTTTTCCTTGCCTCAAAACAATCCAATATTTATCATTTGATTTCATAAATATCTATTCTTTGTAAATCATGGTTTGCATTTATACATATATTCTGGAGAAGAAAAAAACAGAGCCTCACTTCATACTATGAGTGAAATGAGTATACAGGAGTTGACGTGTGCTTTACGGCAGGTATTTGGTTGGTTTGGTCCCTACACAGTATAGCTTCAAATTTCACATGCATTTTTTTAAAATTACACAATTTTAAATCTTGCAGCAGTCTCTACAGTTACCAATAAGAAAATCTGATATGATATACCATTCATATATGAAACTGTTACCACAATGACCATACTCATGTTTTTGTTTTATATACAGTGTACATCTAAAGCTCAAAAAATTTTATTCAACAAAATAGTGCTATTTTTTTTCAGTTTTTGAAAAAAAAATTAATTTACACTGTGCACCATATATGTATGTTATTTTTCTTAAGCTTTGACAGTATTGCATAAATCCTTTTGATTATACTTCTACTGACCCTTCCAGGGTTTAATGCATGTAAATAGGGGCTTTCCAGTTGTGTTTAAAAGACACATCAAATTTGTGCAATTCTTTTTCTTTGTTGTTTGATTACATTGTGATAAATCTTTCCATTCATATTTAGATAGTATCGTTGATGTTATGAAAACTGTCACAGGGAGAAGTGGCATTTCTTTTAACTTGTAACAATTATGTAAAGAAAATAATAATGATATGTCAGTTTTCATGTGACAATTTTCTTGTGTCATTTCAGTTTGAAAAAATGAATATTGTATGTAAGCTGCATGTATGTGACAAATAATGTCAAAATGTCAAAAACAGAATAAAAATGTGGTTTAAAACAATACCTCAAAACTTTAATGCTTTTAAAATCCAGTGATTCTTTTATAGTTCAACTTCGGTATCTCAAACATTGATATCTCGAAAAATATGGATATGTCAAAGTGAGTTGGAAGTCCCAACCACTTTTTCTCTTTATATTTTAATCCCAATATCATGAACCATCAGATATCTCAAAGGTTTTTCTGTCCTGTCGAATTTGAGATATTGAGGTTTGACTGTAGCTAATGTGGAAAATGTTAATCTTGAAAAAAAGTGGCAGATCTATACTTTACAGAAGCATAAGTATATTTGAAAGTATAAATCATGTGGGGGGTTTTTTGACACGGTTTTGTATTATTAAGAACATTCAAAATGATTTTCCCCCATTCTATCTTTTTAAAGCAATTGTTATTTAAACAGAAAAAAAAAAACATTCACAGTTTAGGTTTAATTAAGCCCTTGCTTCATTTATCCTCTCAATTTTTATTCGAACATGTATAACAATTCCAGCAGAATTACCGGTAGATGTTAATGACTGTCAATTCATGATGCCACTGATCTGGTAAAAATCCAGCAGAATTTGATGTTAATGACTGTCAATTCACGATGCCACTGATCTGGTAAAAATCCAGCAGAATTAGATATTAATGTCTGTCAATTCACGATGCCACCGATCTGGTAAAAATCCAGCAGAATTAGATATTAATGACTGTCAATTCATGATGCCTGCACCAATCTTGTAAATGTTTATCTGATGTCTTCTCTTTTACCTGGACAGGATGATTGACCTCCCTTTTTTTAACAGTTATTTACTTTTGATCAACCTCCAAACAAAGTATGTTGAACAGAATAAGTCACATACATAGACAGTAAATGTCCAAATATCGCAATGAAAGACACTTTTACGATTCCCCAGTGTGGCATACAGACTGAAAAGAAGAAGAATCCCATTAAGAAACATCTCAGTACTGTAGATGTACTGATTTCTGTGTATAAAGATTAAATTACGCTATGCAGATTTTCACCAGAAATACATCTTGGCCTACTTAAATTTCATTTATGATATACAATGGCAACCCTAAAAATCTGCATAATTTTTTACCCACAGATTGAGCAGAAATTGTTATTCCAAGAAACTATGACTTTGTGTAAACAAGAGGCCCATAGGCCACATCGCTCACCTGAGCATATTGGCTAGGAAAAAGCACAAAATCAGTTAAGAATTGAAAAGTTTACGGGGGGGGGGGGGGGGGGGGGAATTGAATTCTACACTACCTGATGATGCTTCCATGTCAGTATAACAAATGGCTCTGTTGTTCTTGAGCAGAAGATTTTTTCCTGTATAATCCTTTGTCAAAATTTGATTCCCCACTGTGGCCCCTCCCTACCCCTGGGGTCATCATTTGAAAAAAAAAACTTGAATCTACACTACCAAAGGATGTTTCCATATCAATCAGACTATACATGGCTTTTCTGTTCTTGAGAAGAAGATTTTTTTCTGTATACAGTTGAACTTCGGTATCTCGAACACGGATATCTTGAATACCATGGATATGTCAAAGTGATTTTGAAGTCCCAACTGCTTATTCCCTTAGTATTTTATGCTGGATATCTCAAATCCTCAGTTATCTCAAAGTATTTTCCTCAGTCCCTTCAAATTCGAGATAACTAGGTTTGACTGTATTCCTATGTAAAATTTTGATCCCCAATTGTGGCCCCACTCTACCCTTGGGGGTCATCATTTGAACAAACTTTAATCTACACTGCCAAAGGATGCTTCCATATCAATTAGACTATACATGGCTTTTCTGTTTTTGAGAAGATTTTTTCCTATATATGTGAAACTTTGATCCCCCATTGTGCTCCCCCCCCCCACATCCCCGGGGTCATCATTTGAATAATCTTGAATCTACACTACCTGAGGATGCTTCCATATCAATATGACTAAACATGGCTTTGCTGTTCTTAAGACAAAGATTTTTACCTGTATATTCCTTTGTCAAAATTTGATCCCCCATTGTGGCCCCACCCATCCCCTGGGGGTAATCATTTGAACAAAGTTGAATCTACACTACCAAAGGATGCTTCCATATCAATTAGACTATACATGGTTTTTCTGTTCTTGAGAAGATTTTTTCCTATATATGTGAAACTTTGATCCCCCATTGTGGCCCCACCCCACCCCCAGGGGTCATCATTTGAATAAACTTGAATCTACACTACCTGAGCATGATATTCCTATGGAAAACTTTTATCCCTACACTGTGACCCCACCCTACCCCAGGGGTCATCATTTTAACAAACTTGAATCTATACTACCTGAGGAAGCTTCCATATCAAAATGACTAATACTGTAAACCAACTTTTATTCGAGTGCGAGAAATTTTCGCGAGTTTCGAGACCTACTTTAACTCGCGAATATTAATCACCATGAACCAATTATTTTGCTTTGTATTTGTAGAGAATGTTTCTTCAGTTGCAGAAATTAATTGTCACAGATTCATTTCAAACTGACGATTTGCGAATAAAAGATGACGCAAATAATAGTTGGTTTACAGTAATGGCTTTGCTGTTCTTGAGAAGAAAACTTTTAAAGTTTTTCCAATATATTCATATGTAAAACTTTGATCCCCCATTGTGGCCCCACTCTACTCCCAGGGGTCACGATTTGAACAACCTTGAATCTACACTATGATGCTTCCATATCAATATGACTGATCACAGCTCTGTTCTTCTTGAAAAGAAGATCTTTAAAATTTCCTATGTATTCCTATGTAAAATTTTGATCCCCTGTTGTGGCCCCATCCTACCCCTGAGGGTCATGATTTGAACAAACTTGAATTTATACTATGTATTAAAGGTTTCACATAAGTTTAAACTTTTCTGGCCAAATGGTTCTTGAGAGGAAGATTTTTGAAAGATGACACCAAATTTTCACAAATTCTTAATTACCTCCACTTGAAAGAGGGTGTGGCCCTTTATCTGAACAAAATTGAATCTCCTTCACCCAAGGATGCTTTGTGGCAAGTTTGGTTGGAATTGGCCCAGTGGTTCATGAGAAAAAGTCGAAAATGTGAGAAGTTTACAGATGGACAGACAGACAGATGCCAGACAAAATGTGATCAGAAAAGCTCACTTGTGCTTTCAGCTCAGGTGAGCTAAAGAGTACAGTATTTAAAGGGTTTTTATCACGTCTCAAAATTTTTTGATATGACAAATTTACAAGCTATTAAAATCATATATTTAAAAATCTTTGCTAGAAAATTAATATTTTTGATGTTTCAGCGATTCAAAGTTTGAATTTCTCATTATGCATATTTTGATCGCCGATGTTACGGGCCATTGCTCTGACGTCATAGGTGTCAATCCTGGTCAAGCGAAGTACTTATTGTGTATACAAAAGGGCTCATTTATTGTGTCTATTAAACCTGTTAGAAAATAATTTAGTGATAATTGGATAACTGACAGCTAGTAAGGTATAATTTATGGCGTTAGGATGCACAAATTTGCACAAGAAAGGTTTTAGGAAGAATTTTTCCCCACATTTCCTGGACTGTTCGAGAGATGAAAGGGGGGCCTTTTTCTGCAAGTCGCTTATGCCGATCGATCAGGAATTATTTTTTCTGTCCTATAAAATATTTAAAGGAAAGATACCTTTAAAAAAAATAATAAATGACAACATTTTTTTAAAAGTCGCACAGAATCTAGTAGGAATGTTGTGAACTTCGCAATAATGGCGTACGGCGCCATTGAAGAAGTGTCATTTCTAGTACATGATATTCACTGCTAGAACAGATAGAAGATATACAGGATTTATTTATATATAATTAATTAAAATAATAATGAAGGAGAATAAATTCCCATATTTATAAATGTTTACGAAGTTAAACTCTAGTATAATTTGTTCTATTTAGTCGAAGTCCCAAGTTGTTAACGGCTTCGTCTTCGGTGACCTCTCCAATTGTCGGCATATTTTCTGATTATTTCTCTCTGCTAGACGTTCATACATAAAAGATTGACCGTCCATAATCAAAGGAATATAGTCGATGTCAAAATTTCAACCGGGCATATTGGGTTTTCTATTTATTTAGCGTAAAAATCTATTCAATATATTTTTTCTTACGATAAGCTTTACCAATTCTATTGACCATTGACACCTATGACGTTTCAGTACCACGTGACCCCTATCTAATTAGTGGAGATTTTTACTACAAGGACTCTATATTACGGGAGTTTTATCGTCTAATTACGGCTTTTTTCAACATTAATTCATAATTAAACGATAATTATATGTTTCAAGAATATAATAGCGTTTCATTTTTAAGAAATTTAGATACGTGATAAAAACCCTTTAATATCCACATAAGTCTTTATTCTTCAAAGGCCTTAACCGGCATTCTTTTTATAACATAATGTACATAAGATAACTAAAGAAAAAAAATACCCCTCCTCTAGGGAGGCTTAAGTGATAGGAGTAAACTGAATTGTGATACTCCTGTTATGCAGCAAGTAAGATTAAAAAGTAAAGTAGTACATGTACTTATTAAACTGTGTCCTCAACTTAGTTCATTCTTTAACCTTGAATTTTGAACCTGGAATCAGTCAACTTTTTTTTCCCTTGGCACCATGCATCTTTAAAGCAATTGTGAGTCTGATAGGTCAATTACATGCTAAATATTGTGTCCACAACATTTGTTTAAAAAATTACCTTGTCACCTTGAATAGACTTGTCACTGGTCATCTACCACCTCCATAACAAGTTTAAGCCTAAAAGATCAATTTGTTCTCTTCTTATGGAGTCCTCAGCTTTGGTAAGAGGATACCTTATCATGACCTTGACCTTTCGTCACTAAAATGAACTGGCATGTACCCTTGAATCTACTCTGAGACTGAAAAGTCAGACAGTACTCCATGTATCATGTCCTTAATGCCTATAGATATGCACAAATACACATATCCAGTTACTTTATCCCCTTGAAATGTTGCAAGGGGATCAAACCTTAACCATTATACTGTATTACATGTCTTGAAGTATACACAAATGCAAATATAATTGTTAGTATATCCCCTGGAATGTTGCTGCAAGGGGATAAAAACTTTTTACTTTTCTTGAAGATGATCAATGATGATACGTAAACATCTCTCTCTGATTGTAACCTACCTCTTAAAGTCTGGACAGTGGCTGCACATATGTATGTCTTGATCAGCTGGATATATAAATGACTGTTTTTGGTTCCCCACAGTACAGCCAGAATCACTAGAAACTTGCCAAAGTTAGATAGCACCACAGCTTGCACAAGATTTGAAATGTCCTTCCAGCTTAAAGATTGCAATTAAATTATTTTACTGACATTTAATATGGTAGAAGACTTGTACACTAAAAAGAGAAAACATATACACTGTATACTTTGATTTCTGAAAAAAAAAATTATTGGGATGAAATGCAAGTTTTAGTCTTGATGTGATTTACAAAGATGATCATTTAATGCAACACACTTCAAACTTAGTCATAGATGTACCTCTTAAAGCTGTAAGATCTTAGGGTTGGATTCAAAGAAGAAAATACCATGACCAGTACACAGATGAAAAGGACTAAAGATGATAGTTCTGAAAATAAAGCATTCATATTTGCAAAATGATCATCAAGAGTTAAAAATAAAAATTGAAAATATGCAGCATGCATTTTTTTAGTATTTCACAGTCCTATATACTATTCTTCATACAAAAATAGTCACTTTAAATATTCAATATGAAAATATGCAGCTTAAAATATCTTGAATTTTTTACAAATTATCATGCAGAAGAAGATATTTCTTACCAACAGCAGCCAGTAAGCAGTTTTTATAGAGTCCCCATTCCATGGCAGAATATATGATATAAGTTGGATTAACAGGAGTAATCTCCCCTTTGGCTCGTTGGAGTGCCAACTTGACAAAAGCATCACATGTCAATAATAAAATGACATATTTCCAGACACCCTAGAAACAGCGGTACAAGTATATATATTGTACTTAAATCCACACAGTAATACACAAAATCAATATAAATCATCAAGTGTAAGTAGAAGATTGTAAAAATACTATTAAAAAATAGGGTGGAGATGATACATCTTTTTCTACATCGACATGTATCAAGATATTTATGCCATAGTATGATATGATTCAAAATATGTTAAACTGGTAACAAAAATTTCTAATTAGTAATAAAATTTCATCTTGTATTGAAATAAACAATATATTTCTTCACAAATAATTTATTCATAGCTTTATAATTGTTGTAACACAAAAGTGTTGTTAATTATTATGACATATTTGATATTTATACATGTATTTAAAATATCTATTTTATATTTTAAACCCAAAACATATAAAAGTAAAACAAGGAAAAAATAATTCTGAAATTTCGTGTTCTGTATCATACGCATTGATATGATTATAGTCATTAACAGAATTGATATTATCAATATTTTGATTTATCCTCCGAGCCCTTCAAGATAGTGCTTTACTTATATAATGGATATTTTAAACCTTTGTGATTTTGGCATTAAAGTACAGGTGGAATTATATCCAGTTGATAGCAAGTGCACTGAAAATTGAATGAAGTAAAATACTTCAGACTTCTCACAAAAAATACATATAAGCTTTCTGTTTAAAAAAAAAAACAAGCACTGGTTGCAATCCTGTTTTGAGATGCAACAGAAAAGTGATATTATGTTTGACTGATTCAACCTCAACAAGAGGCTCCTGGGCCACAACGCTCACCTGTATAACTTTAGCCCTGTTGGTCTTCAAGATATTTCCAAAAAGATTTCTATATTCCCATGAAAAATTGTGACCCCATATTATGGCCCCAATCTAACTCTAAAGGTCTCTGTATTCACATGACATGGGGATGCTTCAATATCCTTATGATTATCAAGGCCTTGCAATGATGGAGAAGCAAATTATATTCCTGTATACATGCATTTTGTGAAATTTTCTCCCTGTTTAAGCTAACTCCAACCCAGTGTGCATAATTTATAGGGCTGGGACGATATATCGAGATATCGATAATATCGATTCAATGTGAGGATGATACGCATATCGATACATATGAAGAAATATCGACATATCGTCCAAAAAATTCTGACTAATGTTTTTCTTTGTTTACTTGACATTTTGGGTTTAATATGTAAAATAAATATGCTTAATATAAATATAAATATGAAATACATAATAATTAAGACCACTTGTGCAAAATAATTAAGTTTTACAACAGACATACAACTTCTTTGAATAAATTATTCTTATTTGTGAAGAAATGTTTTGTTCGTTTCAATATAAAAAAAGGATTTATAACCAATTAAACATATCATGATACATATCGTATCGTGGCTCAAATATCGGGATATGTATCGATATAGAAAAAGTTGTATCGTCCCAGCCCTAATAATTTACAGGTAAAAACAAAAAAATGAATCAACTCAACTGTTGAATGGTTGCATATGAATGGTGCGATTAAAGTTTGAAGATTTTCATAATTTATTTCCTATATCGTCCCATGTAAAACTGATCCCCTACTGTGAACGCATACCCCCAGGGGCCATGATTTATTTATTTAGAATCTAAACTACCTCAGGAAGCTTTGTATAAATTTCATCTCTTCTGGACCAGTGGCTCTTGAGAAGAAGATTTTTAAACATTTCCTCTATACTTTGATCTCCTATTGTGGCCCCACCAAGCCCCTGGGGGCCATGATTTGAACAATTTAGAATCTACACTACCTCAGGAAGCTTTCATAAAAGTTTCATCTCCTCTGAAACAGTGGTTCTTGAAAAGAAGATTTTTAAAGAATTTTTCCTCTATATTTCAATGTAAAACGTTAGTCCCCTATTGTGGCCCCACCCAACCCCCAGGACCATGATTTGAACATGAATATGTCACACAAAATAGAACTTTTTTTTTTAGATGTTATGTTCAGTAAAAATACACTGAAAAGGAGAAAAACTGAAAATAGCATTTGTGGTTCTGCATGAAGCCAGACATAATATTATACATACCTGTACATTGCTATTAAACAATACATGACGTAATGCCTTTCTGTTGAGAAGCAGGACATCCAGACTGATGACAACTGGGTCATATTCTATATACTTATCAATAATTTCACTACACTGCACCTGGAATATTCAAACATCTTTCTTAAAAAATATGATATATGTAAGCCTTGCTGCTACTCCATGTACATTTTACCAGAGACATTACAACATTTGTAATTTTTGTCTCTGATGTAACTTACACACAGATAATAATTAATGTACATGTATTATGAAATATCAACCATCAGACATAAATAACAGATAGGCAACTGTTTGAAGTCTTGCGAACCTAATTGTTTACTTTTTAAAATTCTTGCACTGTTCAAATTACACAAATCTTCAATTTCTTAAAATTCTTTAAGGGTAATTAAGTAGAACCTTTTAAATCAAAGCAAGAGATTATTAGAATGTTCCAATTTCCAATTTTGTAAGTTTCCTTATGTAATACAGTTACAAAGGAGGAGGCGTATAAGGCGAGGACAACCCCCCACTCTGAGACGTCAAGATATTTCATAATTCTAAAAGTTCATAAAAAAGGCAATATTTTTCAAATTTGTGTTGTCAGTATCATCTTTACATTTGATTTCCTTATTTCATTGAAGTGACCATGATTCAAACTAACTCCAAAGCAGCTGGTGGCAAGGTGTAATATGTTAAATGTTTTAACCACTACGCTACGTAGTCTTCTTGTAACTTGGCTGTGTCAGTGTGGTTTAAATGAATGAGTTTGTTGAAGCATATCATTTTTTTCAGAATTTTTTTATTTTCATAAAGAATGGATTCAGACTCCATTTTTTTGGAAACATGACAAAATAGATTTTACATTTTAATTTATATTTTTCCGTCATTTATGTAAATGGAGACTTCACCCATTCATATTCAAAAATCATTTTTTTATGGCTCTAATATACCTATTTTCCACTAATTTAAAATATGCTTTAACAGTAAACTAAAAAAAAAAAAACAAATTATGAATTAAAAAGTTATTGTATCAAATGTGTTAAAAGATGACCATACTGATACATGTATTCTAACTTTTGAAAAATATAACCTTTCCATGAACTTTGAAAATTGAGATATATATTGAATCAGAGCAGGGGATTGCCCTTGCCTTGTACGCCCCCATTCTTTGAAAAGGCAACAGGTGACCTGTTGTCTGTCATAATTATATATATCTCTGAGAATTTGGCATCTTTTGATTGACCGCTTTAATCATTTGCCTTGTTTGCTTTTTAAATCAATCTATAGTTTTAAAATGTCCATATATAATAGAATTAATATTAATTTAAGTCATTTTAAGATGCCAACATAAAATCAATAAAGAATAGTTCTTTTTATGCCAGGTCTGGCATAAACTTTAAAAAACAAATGTTAATGAACAGAAGAAGTTGCGAATCACTGTTATTTATGTCTCTGCAACCATAAAGTCCATTTATAAATAGAATTAACTTATACACATCATGTTTTAAAAGTTTCTCAATTATTTTTCCATCTATGAATAAATAAGGCCATCCTTAAAAAATTGTTTGGTTGCCCTCTCCTGACCGACTGGCTAAAAATGACCTGACTCAAAAACTTTTCTAACCTCCAGGAAGCAATTATTTTTTTATGCATTCCGGAAATTATATTTTGAAAATTCAGCATTGATGTTGAAATTTTCTAGGAAAAAAATTCCCCACCTACCTACCAACCCAAATTATTATTAATTAGCTAACATTATTTTAAAGTTGGTCTAATCACAGTTAATCAGGTTGGGCACACCCCACCAAATGGTCATTTATCCCCCGTTTGGTGGACAATCTCCCATTTCGGAGACAAATTTTACTGACCAAATGGTGGACTTCTTTATTCTATTCCAAATTTTATTAAAATAAAGCAAAAGCGCATTTACTTAGGCATTGGGGAATTTTAGTGAACATATTCGTCGCACAATTAACATAGTTCGGTCGATTTCCCATGTGCAATTTCTCCGTAACTTCCTAAAAACGATACCCATAGTTGTCCGTAACAGCCGAACTTCTTGATCACTCGATCAAAAAAAATTTGATTGTGTCTAGTAGGATAAAAATTCTATTTTATCCAGTGGTTGAACTCTTGATAAGTTAAGTTTCAATCGCTTTTTGGATCTTCGTCAATATTTATCTCCATAAAATCCCGTTAAACACGAGCTCCATTACTTAACTGGTATGGTGGGCACTTATTGCTATAAAGTTAAATTTTTCTAGACTTGAACGTAATATCTGTTGTTATTTTTCTTTTAGGATGAAGTTGCATATTCCATACGACCTTTTTGTGGTTTAATATGTATATTACTGATGAATTTAATATACTTGATAAATAATTTTCAATAAAAGATTTACAAAGTGACTTTTCAATTATTCTTGTATTCGTTCGAAGTACATCGTTTTAAAACAATAATTATATCATAATCTAACTTCATTTACTATTTTTATAGAGAACAAAGCTATTGCATACAAAATAAAATGAAATAAAGGCGAAAACTTATTTTTCTTTTTATTTTCTAATTGAAAATTGACACTAATGTGCCTCCGTAGTAAAACCCAACTTTTGACCAGGTTAAAAAAAGATCATCGTTTTTATTGGTTTGCATTATTTGATTGGTTGCCCGGATAATTGAAATAGAAAGTAAAGAACATGATTGACAGGTGCAGCATCGTTGAAGAAGGAGGAAATTTTCTTTTTAAGTAAAAACTGAGAAACGTTGCACTTGTTTACATACGATGATACGTGACATTTTTTGTCAAATTTTTGAACGACTCTGCGCAAAAAATTACACGTTGAATTTCCGATTTTTTTCACTCAAAACACCGATAAATATCTATATTTTATTCCACATGGTTTAAAATTATGCACCATTCCACGCCATTCTATGGAATTGAACACAACCATTTTTCTCTCCCAAATGGTCAGTAAAATTCGTCTCCGATATGGGAGATTGTCCACCAAACGGGGGATAAATGACCATTTGGTGCATGGTGGGGTGTGCCCAACCTGTTAATAGTACGAGATTTTCCCTCAATATACTGACAGTACTATTCAAATATGTAAACTGGATACAGAGACTTTAACAAAAAGCTATTTACACAATGTATCATTTTGATGATTCCATTTCTGTAATCTTTATAGAGTTCACTTGAACCAGTTCCACAATTGATGCAGCGGTACTGCAATGCACCTTTGGGTACCTCTGGCTCTGCGGGTATTTGCTCCGATTTTCCCATGCTGTATGTAAAATCTGGATTGAGTATAGTGCGAAATACGTGTTAGTTTAAAAAAAATAATAAATTGTAAGTTTTGGATCAAAAGTCAAATAATTCTTTTTAATGAAATTATAAAAATGTTGTAATGCTCAGTGTTTTAAAATTATATTTTTTTTTCACCCTTAAAAATGAGAAAAGATTTATCCGGAATTATATCTTTTGTTGTTTAATTTTAAATTTAACAAGCGTAAATTTTTTCCTGCACGAATGCGAACAAACTGTATGTCGAGTGTCTGTGGACTTTTAATTACTATTAAAAGATGTCTGCGAGTTTTGATGGAACAAGTAAGAGTAGCAGAGCTGAGAACAGCGAAAAGTGAGTGCCTTTATCTTATTGAATGAAAGCACAGGTACTTGGGTCAGACGTTTATCAGGTCCATGTACGTCCAGTACAATCATTACATTTAGGTACGTAGCTAAAATTACCTACCGTAGCTTTATTTACCTACCTCAGGTAGCTTTATTTAGCTATTTCAAGGCAACTTTTCACAATTTTGCTTTTTATTTTAAAAAGACAAAAAATCGCACGTAAATGTCTACTAAAATTTATTCTAGGTATTATTTAAAAAGCAATCTAAAACAGAGATAGTTTAACATTGCTGTGTTTGAAAACTTTTGGGGAAAATATGTATTTCCATTGTTTGAGTAACTGTACAGCACCTTGTGTGCGATGAGGTGTGGATAAGTATGATTACTTCACATTGTGCTCATGTTAACCAAAACTGGTTTTCTTTGTTATTTCACTCAAGAAGTAACTGTTATGTCACAAATTAACTGTTGTATATCATGTATATAACCCCAAAACTTTTAGAACTTCGATTGCAATTGCGCAGAAAAAGACACATCTTCAAGAGTGAGTTTTTTATGAATTGTTTTCAGATGGGTTCAAAGTTGAAAATTATCACTGCATCAAAGTGCAATTTTCTGTACTTTCGGGGAAAAATGCTAATTCAAGAAATAAGTTTGATTTAGTAGCTAAATAAAGCTAGTTAGCTACTTCAGGTAGGTAAATAAAGCTATGTAGGTAATTCAAGCTACATAGCTAAATCTAGTGATTGTACCAGACCTGTTTATTACTGGATTCCAGGTTTTTACACATCATCAGAAACCTATGGTTGATTATGTTTCATTTCTCTCTAAATCTCTCCATCACACATGGGGTAATTCATATCAATTTGCTCGTTCTCATGAATAATGTTTAAATTTACTGTCCAATCAAATTAATCGTAGTTGGAATGGCCTCTGTTAGTCACTGTCATAAAATTATGGCTGCGCTCATGCAGTAAAAGTATGTTCTGTGCGAAAAATATGTCTGACCTTCATACAGGTCCCTATTCTCAAACAAAAGTCATGCAGGAATAACACAGGGACATGTTGAAACTTATTTGCATTCTAAACTTAAAAGGATTTGCCTGCATCATGTGCAATGTAATTTCTATGAAAGTTCCATTGGCTACCCCCAAGTGTAATAAACAGATGTATGGAAGTGTCAGAGATTGAGGAACACTCCATCACTATATCCTCCCTTTCATTCAAGTGGAAGTATTATAATGAATTCTATCATTAAACTTGGTCAATAATACAAAGATCAATTTCTTAAAATAGAACATTCATATCTACATAACTCAATAAGTTCCAAAATACAGAAACTGGATATGCTACCCTCTTTCAATATTGATAGAGATTCTTTATGCATTCATTATGATTAAAGAAATGTTTGTATATAATGCTTCATCACAAACAAATTTAGATACCTACCCCCATTCCCCAATAAATTCACTACTTTATTCTTCTCTTCTCTAGTAGTTATCCAAGATTACCTACTTTTTCAAATGGACGATTGTTAGGGATACACATAGTGCAAGATATTGGAGACCTGGAATTCCTAAGTACCAACTGGCACAGGTCTTTTCCTTATATGTTTGCTATAATTTGCAGCCAAGTCACAGAGACACCTTAGTGTTCCTGAAAGATATTAAGATGATGTAATTTGTTGGATTTCATTATCTGTGTCTTTAGTTGTTTAGACATACTTTTCACTGACTGCTAGTTCTTATGTCTAGTTAATTTGAATTCAAGTTTGAAGCAAAAGAGCATGTCAGACAAACAATGAAACCATTAGAACTAGCTGTAATTAATAGCAATTAATAGATCTGCCATTTTATTTGCATCTTGCCAAGACATCAGCATCACAATTTCTAGTAAACTTTTGTAGCTCATGTTTAATGAGACTCATGTTTGTAATTTATCAACATACATTATTATGATCTCAAATATTTAAAGTTTTCTTCAAATTGACTACTAGTTATAACTCAGAAATTTCAGATGAATTTTAACAAAAATGAGGGGGGGGGGGGGGGACTCAGATGTTTCCATTTGACTGACAAAAAAAAAATGACATCACATAAAAAGCCTGCAAAATGAGAATGCTACATTTGTAAAGTTTGCAGCAGAAAGATGTTTCTAAGCTATATTAGCGACTATGTTGCTATGCATGCAGAGAATTGGGAGTTTCAGATTTTTTATGTTATCAAGATTTTCTTGAATAATATGTAAATTTGGAAAATATCCTCTCTTCATATATATAGCATATAGAGCTAATTATACTCCCCACTTGAAAAGGGATTGCAGTCAAACCTCGTTATCTCAAACTCAATGGGACTGAGAAGATACTTCAAGATATCCAAGGATTTGAGATATCAAGGGTAAATTACCTAAAAAATAATTGGTTGTAACTTTCAAATCAGTTCAGCATATCATGGTATTTGAGATATCAGTGTTCAAGATACAAAAGTTCAACTGTATATAGTAATAGGGGTGTCTTCCCTCCATCTGTCTATGTGTCCGTCCATTACACTTGGGGTAGCCGTCCCTTATCGCAGCTCCTCTTACAATATATATAATATTTGGGATACCTATTTCTTACCTGCAACTCCTCCTACACCACAGAATAAAATTTAATGAGACTTTTGTAACAGGGGTATCACTATGGAAGTATATAACACAACACTCCTGTCAGGGTTCATCAGATTTATTGCACAGTGGAGTGATTATATATATATTATGTTGTATTGTGTAAGCCCTGTAAATATCATAAAAACAACAATAAATATAATGTAAATAATTATCACACACAATGTTCATTATTTCACATGAAGATAATAATTAGATTATCATCATTTATAATATTTACACTGTCATCAAAGGGAGATAACTCTTGAATATTTAAATCTTTACATATTAATTACTCCCATAATATTCATAAAAAATATTTAAGATTAAAAACATATAAATCTAAATCTCACCATTCTATGGGAATAGGCTTTCCCACAAATTGTTAATATAGAAGTATCTACATGAATGGTGATCAGAAATGGAAATCTGTCCAAAGTCAAGAATGTCTTTTTTTTTAATATATATATAGTCTGGTCAAATCAACCTCTGAACAAAGAATACTCTTAGTAAAGCGGGAAAACTCCAACCCAGTAAATAAAACCAATAGAATCAGACCTTTCAAATCAATAACCAATAAAAACCAAAATAACAATGACCACTTCCAAAACATCTGACCAATGCCCTTAGGTAATATATATGTATGTACAGGTAAGGGAGAACTAAGGGGTGGATCTAGGTTTTGAATAACAAATTTAAATAAAAGTTAAAATATTTATTCTGGCAAATTCTTTTACTTTATTTTAAACAAATCCAACACTATTACACTTTCACTGAATCTTTATTACACAGTGCCACTGTGCAACTCTTATTTTATATTCTGATCTGAGAGATATTTGGGGTTTTTTATAGCAAAATATGGACTAGCTTTGCCATTATACTTGTATGGAAGCTGCGATGTATCAGTTGATGAGCTCAATGCTTACAACCTCTATTTTTTTTTTTTCATCATGCACTTTAAGGGTTCCAATGAGAGAAAATATTGATGAATTTTGATACTCATTTTTAACACATAATGACTTTGTTACAGGTTTTATTATGAGTATAATCCAAGTAATTAATTATTGTTACTTTTATTGAAGGTGCACAAAAGATTTTAAGGAGTTGATTGACAAGGAAGAATATGAGCTGAGAAAGCGTCTCCCAAGAAAATTGCCCAAGAGGAAAACAGATGTGTATGTTACCAGAAAGACTAATTTTAACTGTCAGCTAGAAAGATCACAGAAAATTCTGGATTCTGAAAATGAGGTTTATATTCATGGTCTTGGTGCAGCAATAAACAGGGCTATTAATCTGGCCTTACAGTTACAATCCAAAGGTCAAGGTTCTGTGGAAATGTCTGCCCACACTTCAACCTTGGAATTAGTTGATGACCTTGAACCTCAAACTGATGACCTGGAACCAGAAACACAGTCAAGGAACAATTCTGCAATTCATATTAAGATGTATAAAATGAATCCACTAAAAGTTGAACTGTCACAAGACAAAGGAGATGCATCATGATAGATAGTGTTTGTGATATGATAGATAGAAGTTCTATTTGAAAAAGTCTTGTTTAGTTTTCAGAGAACTTTGAATAGCTCTCTACATGAAGATTTACGTGAAGGAATCTTTTCATAAAGGAATATGAAGGAAGTTGTCTTTTCTATTTTGTGTGGTGTGTGTGTGTGTGTGTGTGGAGGAGGGGGGGGGGGGGCGCACATGATACAGATGATATAGGAGACCATGATATCGAGCATCAAAGGGGGGGGGGGGGGGGGGAGGGGGATGAATGAAGGAGTCAATATACCAAATAGCAAGAATGCTAAAAATATAAAGTGGGCTTACTTTTTTTTTGATTTAAGAGAGGAGACTAAAAACCTTTCATTTACGAAATACATGTAGCAGTAGAAGTGTAGGTGAAATCTTAAATGAGGTCAGGGACCTATATATAGTATATAGTATATATATAGTATATAGGTCCCTGATGAGGTTGAAGATAATTGTATTATTCTAATCACAAAGAGTGCATGCATGTATTCAGCTTTTTTTTTTTTTTTAATTTTGTGTGTTTGTGTGTGTTGTTTTTATAATCATTATTGTTTTGTTTCTTTTGTTTTGTTTGTTTGTTTTGGTTGTTGTTTAAGTACGACAGCGACAAATAAAATCGTACGACCAAATGGTGGAACGAATTGTCTGAACCTGTCTAGAGATTGTAAACAAACTTTCACGCCAAGAAACAAAGTTCTTTACTATTCCATCTCGTTATGATCATTCACACTGTGTTGTTATCAACTTTAACCTTTTTTACATAAAAGAGTATTAATTTTTCGCTCAAACGGCAAAACTTGTTTGAAATCAGCAGGGAATTGAGGAATCGGCTTATCTGGTGTGGATAGAATTTCCTCTGCTACAGTTCTTAAGACCGATGATTGTTTTTTAAGGAACAGTCTCTTATCGTTAGGTAAATGATCAGATAACATTGAAATATTTTGGAATGTATAAATTTTAAGAAATGAATGGGATTGACTTCCAAGTAACCAAAATGAATTAATGTGTTTATTAAGCCTAAACAAATTCCATCCAAAATGCCCAGGAAAAAAAAAGTTCGTGTAGCTTAATTGAATTGTTTCTTTTATTGATTGAGAACAGTTAATTGCATCTTTATTCTTATTTCTGCAGAGATTTAGATCAATAGTATGATTTTTCAACTACAAAAGGGATAATCATGAATAAAGTATGAGGACAATTTTATACCAGTAAATGAAAATGGAGTATGTAGAATGTATGAAAACTGGGTACAACCCTGCCCATGTTCAAGTGGCCTGTGATGGAACATTCATAGGTCTGCCATTAACAAGAACAACAGTGGGTGTTTGGAATATACAAGATCCCTCTGCAAAGGTATTTATTTTTTAAAATATACTTAATGAAAGAAATAATAGTCGATTTAAACAGGTTGGGCACACTTCCCTAATACAGTATCTGTATATGATACGTCGTGGTAACCAATACTGGCTTTTATACAACGGGATAGTAACTTTACACTAAAAAAGGAATTGTTCCTCTTTTCAGTTATAGAAACATTACTGTATAATGGGATTTTCATATTTTAAAAATAATGAGGAAATCCACTTAATAATTAAAAACTGCATAAAAAATATGAAGTGATTTATTAAACCAACCTTGCTGACAAAAATTTCATTCCTTTAGTGCTGCAGAGTAAGATGAGATTTAATTGGATGAAATTGTGTGTATTTTTTATAACGGATGTGAATTTTTCCCTTGGAAGTATATTATTATTTAATTTCAGAGCTTGGCTTCATGGAGTTGACATCTTTTAAACATGAAAATAGGAATTTAAACTCACATGCAGCAGTAATCCGTGACTTTACTTTTCTCTGTTGACAAATGATATGAAAACTATGGAATCTGAAAAGGACATTCAATCTAAAACTGTTTTTGAATGAATATGTTTTAAATCTTATATTTCAAATAATGATTTGCAAATCTGTAAAAGAAGCAATGGTATTAAAAATAATATTTTTACAACATCTTTAGAAGGAATGATATATAACTAAATTAGAATGAATGATTTTATATACAAATTAGCATGTGCTGAATTGTATTTTTGTATTTAATCTTGCATATTTAACACAGATAAGCTTCCTTAAGAAATGTATATTGTAGCATGAATATTTAGACTTTAGAGATATTTAGACTTTAGAGGATGTGAAAATATTCTTGCACTTAATCTTTTACTCAAATCAAACATGAAAATAGAGGGGGGAAAAAATGAAAATCCCATTATACAGTAATTTTCTCTCAGTGGCCTTTTAAAGATTTTCAAACTCTCTGCAAGTTTTTCTAGTTGAAGTGAAACTTTAAAAAAAGACAAACACCCTCTCCACCTTGCCAAGCTCCGGCATCATTTTTAAACCTCTAATTTTTTATCAGTCTCTACAGAATGTACAATAATATTTCATAGAAGTGACAAAATGAGGTAAAAAATGGAAAATTTAAAGAATAATTGTCACATCACATAAGTGAAACGTGAAAATTAGATGATAAATACTTGTATCAAAGGATTTGTCTCTGTTAGACTCAAGGTTGGGAGATGTCATATTTTGAGGTTGCGCAGCATGGGTATACCATTGCTTACAAAAACATTGACAATTTATTTAAAGATAAAATTTATGTTTATTTTTAAACAGAAAAGATTAATATGTTAAAAAAAATGTGCAAAAATTCATTGATGTACCTTTTGGGTACAAATTTTTTGATTGAATTCCAATTTACACAAAAGTTTGAGTAAATACAATACCAGATGAAAGTTATATTGCTTATACAACAGACTAAGCAAAGTTATTTAAGTTATTTTTCTTTTATTCAGTAGTGATTATGAATAGTGCAAATTTGGCGATTAAAATTTTAGCGGGTTACTACAAAACTGCTAAATAAGCCAAAGTTAGCACCCTGCTAAAAAATACCCGCTATACTGTACTAATAAAAACATGGTTACAGTCAGATAACCAGATATTAATGACCAGTTTGAAAACTTAATTATTAGATATTTTTTTACGATAAATAGAATAGACAGTACATAATAGAACCCATATTGTATAACATTCATGTATGTAATATCATTTGAATGCCCCAATATATCAGTCAATGGGCTGATATGGGGCCACTTGGGTTATGACATATAATTTAATATTCTCTGCATATATATTGAACCTGATCCAAAGTTTTATTTCTGAAATGAATGATAAAGCAATACTATTTGTTGAAAAGATAACTTCCTGCAAAATCTTTGCAGTACAATTCCATGAAATTTTCTTATTAATATTACATGTAAAACTGAAGATGATTATACTAGATACATTTGAATCAATAAAGATATATAATGGAGAGAAAACTATGTGTATACAAGTTTTAAGTATCTTGCATACATCAATACTGCTTTTGCCATCTGAAGTCTGAAGTATTAATGATGAATATTTACATACATAGCCTCTGAAACTTGAAGGACACAGGAAGATTCTTACCAGTTTGGTGCTAGGGAATGTTTCAAAACCCAAAAGACTGTGTTCTGCTGCAGAGGACTACTTGATTGTATGGAATATTCATCAGGCTCTGGAGAAGGCAGGGAAAGGTAGAAGCAAACTTTTGTCAATCAAAACCTAACTCTTTGTACTTTTATTAAAGAAAGTTTAAATAGATTTGCTTAATTATTCCCTCCAATATTAGATTATGCTTAATGCAATAATTTATTACTGAATATACTGAATATTTAGATGAGCAGATAAAAGGAGTGATCATAGGTACAACACTTGGGTACATACAACACTGTGCATTTAGTCCTGATGATTCTCTGGTAGCAGCCTGCAATAATAATGATGTTCTTATTCTGCGCTCTAATGTAAGTTTATTAATTAAGAGAAGAGTTATTCCAACAAACCTGTATGTGTGTTTACAAAAAGGCATAGAAATCCTCTGTAAATAACAGTGTTTCCATTATTTATAGACATCAGAAGTTATAGCCGCACTAGAGGGCCACATGAATCGAGTCACTTGTGCAGAATTTTGTCCCCATTATTCATCAACTCTAGTCACAATATCTGAAGACAGAACATTCAAGGTTTCTACTGTTTTTTTGTTTGAATTTACATGTTTTGTTCCGTTTACATTTAATTGTAACATAGATTTGGTTTTCATGCCTAAGGACCCTTTCATCAAATGTTTTAAACAATATCAACAGATGGAAAATAAAGTTCCTTTTTTGTTCATTTTCCACACTCATGTCAGAGATGGTCAATCTTTATAGGTATGGAACATAGCAGACCTATCACTGGTCTACCAGTCCACCATTATCACTGCCTCCCCATTCATCAGCATGACGATGAACCTTCACCTACCCCAGGTTGCCATAGGGACAGCAGATGGGATTGTGAGAGTATTTGACTTGTCTGATGGAAAAGACTTCCGGTGTGTTCATCAGATTAACATTGGGAAAATCATGGACAAATATCGCCTCAGTAAAGAACAAGCATTGCTGTCACCAAGATCTGCAAAGGATGGTAAAAAGAATCTTGAATTTCCTGTAATATATGTATTTCAGTATGTTTAGTTCTCAGAAGTGTCTTTGATTATCAAATATCAGCTCTTTGATTCTTATGTTCACTTTATATATCAAATTGAAGCCAAGTAAGCCTAATTTAATCTGTTGATCATAAAAAACAGAAAAGATCTTAATAGTAAAAATCTTAGATAAAGAACTAGTGTATTTGTTTTTCATTTACTACGATAGACAAGGAAATCAGCAAATCCATATAAATCTGTCACTGGTTCAAATCTAGTTGATGTGTTACATTACAGGTCCAGTGACCATCAGTAGTAAGCCATCCTATCAGAGACGAGGAGATGGGGGAGAGCCTAGGGAGGAAGTGGCTATACAGGATGTAGCAGAGACAGGATGTGCAGTCCTAGGTCTTTACTTCTCCTGGGTCCCAGATGATGATAGAGGAAGTTCAGCTCGATCTGTTGGCTTCCTACAGAGAGCTAACACTATGATCAGGTAGATTAACAGCATGTACCATACACTCCAATGCTAAAGATATGTTTTCAATTTCTTAAATCATTATATCTTATGTTTTTTTTATCTCTTGCCTAAAAAAGTTATTAATTATACAGATGTCTTTAATTTTTAAATCCTTTTAGAGACCTCTTCAGTGCTTCTCCCATGTTGGTTGTTGGTACTACAGGAGCGCTACTTCAGATAAATGCCAAGACAATGGAAGTTATCCAGTATTTTGATCTACAAGGTGCATATACTTGTATTTATTTTTTTCAAATTTTGACAGATTAGAACCAAATTTGGAGCTTTCACATGAGTTAACCTTTGTTTTCTTGTATAGATCGAATACCTCCAACATCAGATGGTAGGAAGGAAGTGTGCATAAACAATGCTGGTTCTGCTTATTTCAGTCAGGGCGAGGAACCAGAAAAGGTCAGGATAAAAACAACAGCATAGACAGGAATATACAACTTATAGTCAACAGTACAGAGATGATTTTATAAAGTTTGCTTTAGTTTAATTTGTTTTATTTGATTTCAGATATTCTGTGTCATTGGTAGCCATTTTCAGAATCATGTTCATCTATTGAAATGGGACCATGCCACATCAAGATCAAAACCCTATAACTTCAGTTCAAGTATAGAGGATTTATCAATCATCTCTTCAGAACTGCCAGCCAATCAAAAGCTAGACAATAAATCACCCATTTTAACTGTACTATCCAGGTAAACTCCAGGCTTAAAAAATAAGTATGAACATTGTATTGTAGAGTACATGTATTTAATTGAGGTTTTACAAACTTAATTTTCATTTCTTCATTCCAATACGTTGTTGAGATTATTTGTTTTATGGAAATGTGAAGATGCTCAAGTGAAAACAAGAGTGATTTATTCACATGTACGGATCTGTAATACAGTAATCTGCTCTACTTTTAGTGACCCCATGTTGCCAAATTCAATCCTTAAACAAGGCCTGGTTCCTAAACAGAAAGAAGAGGCCTCCTCTAAAAAGCAGAAAGGTCATTATTAATTCCAGGACTGTGTGATGCATTTCAAAAATCAAAGTCTGGGTTTATTAAAATCTTTTATTGTAAACATACTTCGTTCAGCGGTAATCATATTTTAGCGCCTTTAGTGCTGTTTTTTGTCAGCTAATTTATGTACACAATAAAGTATGATTAAAATTAATACTTGTCATTGTTAAAACTCTAGTGCACTAATTTATGATTCAATGCAAATTCACATATTTTAAGCGTAATGAAATGGTGATTTAAAATACATTTTTACAGGAAATATAATTTATCTGTCAGATTAAATAATTTAGAATTATAAAATGGAATGTAATGAAAACTTATTTTCTGCAATCAGGACACCTTTCTCCAGGAAAGCAAGGTCAAGGTGTGAAAGATCAGCCACTGACTTTTCAGAGTAAAATCAAGTCATCAGGGTACACAGAGGCTCCCAGGTAGGTACATTCTATGGTCACATTCCTGTGTATATAGTTACACCGAGGCTTTGAGGTAAGTACACTGTGTAGACACATTCCTGTCTAGTTACACCGAGGCTCCCAGGTAGGTACATTCTATGGTCACTTTCATGCCTAGTTACACTGAGGCTCCCAGGTAGGTACACTATATGGTCTCATTCATGTCAAGTTACACTGAGGCTCCCAGGTAGGTACACTATATGGTCTCATTCATGTCAAGTTACTGCAGCAGCATTTTTTTCCCTTATATAACTGGTACCGATAAATGGTACCATTCCCAATGCCAAAAAATGTTAATGTTTTTTGAGACTAAAAATTCCTAATTCCACTGCCAAGCAACAGACTACGATGACATCATATTTCTTTTTATATGAAACAATGTACAAGTTGACTAATTGTTTTACTTCCGCTTATATAATAAATCGAAAGTAGAGACTAGTCATAATATGGTGGGACCTGTTGTGTAGACAGCGTAGTGTCATACATTTTGACAAATTGAAAGCATGAAAATGTGAAAACAAGGGACATTGATATGAAAACAATAAATACTTGTTTATTCTTTAAAACATTGAGTAATAGGTAATGAGTTTGAAATAAACGCAAAATATGTTTCATTTGTTTAAAAGACAGAAAATTCTCCTTTGTTCTACTTCAATGCTATTTATCCCAATTGAACTGGTACCGGACTCTTTCCCAAAGGGTAGAAAAAAATCACTGCACTGAGGCTCCCAGGTAGGTACACTATATGGTCTCATTCATGTCAAGTTACACTGAGGCTCCCAGGTAGATACACTATATGGTCTCGTTCATGTCAAGTTACACTGAGGCTTCCAGGTAGATACACTGTATAGTCTCATTCATGTCAAGTTACACTGAGGCTCCCAGGTAGGTACATTGTAAAGTCACATTCATGTCTAGTTGTATGATACATGTACAGCAACAAGAGACAGCTAGACTTTTTTCCCACAAAGTATGAAATATTAAAGTTTTGATTGCATTTTTTTTCTTTTAAGGACAACCATGTTTAAACCAAAAACAAGTTTTACAAAACAAACATCCACAATTAAAAGGAAACCATCTACAGGTTTACTAGAGTAAGTGGTAATTAAAGCAGAATGATTTATTTTAGATAACATTTGGAAAGTGTCAGTAAATTCTTGCACTTTTAATGAGCACATTAATTTAATTTTTTTTATATATATTTCTTAGTAATGATTAAAATGTTTCTATTAAAGGAATGCTTTAGAGAAGGAATACCCTGCCAATCCTGGTCCTCCAAAGGACTTTGTGTGTGGTTGGGAAGTTGCTGAAAGACCTACTCCTGTTAATGCAATAGCTTACTCAGGTATGTCTCAAACAAGGTCTCATTCCTAATCCCAAGCAACTATAAGCCCTACCTGGACCAAACTTGTGTAGAACATGCATCATAGAATGTACAATGCCCGACTTGCTTCAGATACAGGGCTTGACCTACTTTTCCCAGAAAAGAAACCAGTTAAAGTTTTTGAAGCAAGTTAAATTTTAAGGAGCAAGTTTCATTCCAAAGCCCCATTGCATGGATGATGTATCTATGGAGGTCAGACTGGCTTTGGATGCTGTATTTGACCTACTTTTCCAGATGAGTGAACAGGTGAACATTTTTGGAGCAGGTTCATTCCCAGGTAACTGTAGGCCCTACCTGGATGAAACTTGCATGGATGATGCATCTAGGAATGCACACTACCAGGCTTGCTTTGGATGCTGGATCTGATCTTTTTTCTTGAGTACCGGTATTAAGAATATATGGAGCATTTTCATCCATAAGTAACTATTGGCCCTATGGTGTCATACAATTTACGAACGAGTGAACAGGTTAAATTTTTGGAGCATGTTCCTTACCAAATAATGTAAACCCTACCTGTGCCAAAGGTACATGGATGATGCATCTAGGGATGCACACTACGATACCTGCTTTGGATGCTGGATAAATTGATGTACATTTTCCAGCTGAGTAAAAAATTTAAAGCCCTACCTAGACCAAACTTGCAAGGATGATGCATCTAGGGATGCACACTACCAGACTTGCTTCGGATGCTAGATCTAACCTACATTTTCTGGATGAGTGAACAGACTAAAGTTTTCAGAGAAGTTTCATTGCCAAGTAACAGTAAGACTTAACTTAAGATTTATTATAAGATGAAACTTGCTTGTATGATGCATCTATCGATGCACATTATGTTCTAATTTACCAGTTCAACCGAACATAGATTATTTATAAAATAAAACTCAAAACACTTTTATATAGGATAAGCTCACATGCGTGAGTGCAACAGACTTTAATGAAATGTATACAGTATACAGTATACAAAGCAGTCTTTAGTTTGACCTCTTATCCATATCATTCTACAAAAGAAAAAGACTCAAATAAAGCAACAACATCAAAACGAACAAAAACGTTCAAAATATCGATACTGGAAGGGATGGGGTGAGGGATTAGTCTGTTGCAATGTAGCAGTGAACTTCGAATGTCTTAAAACACCCGAAAATGTACCTTATCGGATTCAACCTATTCACCCATAAACAAAATGAACAACCAATTGATCTCCTTTACCAATAGACCTATTCTGCATACATAACAAACACACATGTTTCCCATAACTTTTATAAATATATCTATAGACTTGCTTAGTATGTTGGATTTGACCTACATTTTCCAGGTGAATGAACAGGTTACAGTTTAAGAGCTGGTCAGTTCCCAAGTACCGGTAACTATAAACCATATGGTGACTGAACTTGCATTGATGATACTTGTTATTGGAGATTCACACTAACATATATGTTTTGGAAGCTGAATCTAACTTAATTTACAGGAAGATAGAACAGAAAATTTTTGTTGAAGGTCACTTTTCATTAATACATGGACCAAACTTGTTGTATCTAGGGATGGACACTGCCAGAATATTTGTTTGGTGTGAGACTTTGCCTTAATTATAGGTAACATTTGTTGAAATGAGCTTTGTAATCTTTGATTACCTATGTTTTATTATGTGTTTTAGTTCCATTATATGTGTATTTATAGGAGATGGCCTTAGTCTAGCCTGTGGTCTTGCCAACAAGTCTGCCCAAGTGTTCAAAATTCCATACAAAGAAAAGAAAAGCTATAGTTTGGGTAATTAATGCATAATGGTGCAAGTTTTTACATCCTAAACTCAGAAAATATGCTTGATTTTACCATTTAACTTTTCAGTCGAAAATAGACTTAGTTCTTGGTTACTTTCAATTTTTTTTGTCTGCAAAAAAATGCACTTAAATATGATGATACATGTAATAGATATATGCATCAATATTATGTACATTGTAGCTCACAATCACATTGTGAATGATGTGCGATGGAGTTGTGATTCAAATTGGTTGGTAACAGCTTGTGATGATAAAACAGTAAGGCTATGGCAACGAGGGCAAACTGAGGCTGTCCTCACCTTAGCAACCAAACTCCACAACCTAGCAGATGGAGATGGACAAAAGAAAGACAAGGTTATTCTTTATCACATGTTTAAACTGCTCATTTTGATAGAATTGTTAATGTTGAAATGGTACAATGTTGAAATGGTACAACATAGTAGTTTAATTTTCATTATGTGAGTTCATGTAAGGCATGTTTATGTTTTATGTTTATGTTTTCTATTAGGAAAATGCACCGTTTCCAAAGGAGATTAAAAATGCTCAGTTCTACTATATGGACCGATTCCTGATTTTAACCTCCTCCAACACACTGCACGTGTACAAATACCACCTGGATCCCACTAAACAAGATATTAAAAGGTAGCTATCAACAACAAAAATGAATGTTTTAAATTTAAACCAGGTTTAATGCTAAAAATCCCTTCAATTTCTATTGATATCTAGGTATGTGAACAAGAGTAGATACAAACAAGTTCAGTCATTCACAGTGGATGCCCAGTACATCACAGCCATGTCTGCAGTAAATGATTTCTACTCCTGTATCCTTATGCTGATTGGATGTTAATACAAAATGTTAATGTTACTACAGCATGTGTAAACAGAGTTAAGGGAGATATAAGGTCATGTTGTCTTTCTGCACTGCCCTAAATTTGAGAGAGAAGCATTTAATCAAGACTCAAACTAAAATCATATGTTTTTTAAATAATTGTGTCACGTGTGTCATGTGTCATGACATTGAACCATGATTATGATTGGTAAATTTAAATTCACTAGCAAAGAATGTAAAATTTGTTTCAAGGCTTTATTTTTCAGTGGAGAAGCATTACCGGTACTAAGCCTCATAATGTTCATGAAGTTGATTATACTGTAAATTCCTCATTTTACGCGAGTACTTAATATCGCGAAAGGGCTCTTAGACGCCAAATCGCGAGAACAATAATTAGCGAATGGACGCTTTACAATGAGATTTAACATTAATTTCAACACCATAAAAATAAAAGCGTGTAATTTTATTTCGCGAGTGGTGCTCCTCGCGTAATTACGCGTTAATTAATTCCTCGTGTATATTTAGGAATTTACAGTAATCTGAGACCCGAGAGGGTCAAGGTGACTAGTAGAAAAAAAAAGTTAACTTTGTTACATAGTTTTCAAAAATGGCACTATATTGGAGGGAGTGGGTATTATAACTGTCATTCCTTAAAGAAGAGTTGTTGTCTAGTTAGAAGTTTCCTTAATTCTTTCCAAGACATTGTGATGTGTGCAGGCAGTAGTAAAACACTGGAGGTTTATGACATGAACGTAGGCAAGTGTGTACGAGTCATCTCTGATGTCCACACCAGACCTGTTCATTGTATAAAACAACATGAGGTAATGTCTCCTAAGTAAACCTGAACTAATAAATTTTTTGTACCTTTTATTATTTGCACATTACACAGTACTTCATTTATGCTTTATAGGGATCAAAATTTGTATCACACCCACGTGATGCCTATGATTTATTCCTGACATCCGCAGCAGGTGACTGTATCAAACTCTGGGACCTCCGGGCAAACAGGTCAGTTATTATAAGAACTTCAGAGAATGCTTATTAATGTACATTTACAGTTATGTGTAAAGATCAGAGATTGTTCGTTTGGGCTGGTAACTTAAACAGTGTTTGCAATGTTGAATGTGATATTTTGTCACCTAGGCCATATTGTTCAAGCACAGTTTGATAGGCCAAGTAAAGTTGTATTTGTTAGTTTAAGGAGACAACCATTTCTTAAAAGGGGGGGGGGATTTATTCAAGTCAGATTATTAATTTTCATGCTGGTCAAGGACAGATTATTTATTTTCAAGATGATCAAGGACAGATTATTTAATTGCTTCTTCACTTAAAAAAGTTTGACAAACAAAAGAAAAAAAAGAAAAGGTAAAACACCCAAACTCTAAAACTCTATTTTGTGAAAGGGGGGGGGGGGGGGGGGATTAGTAATACTAGTCAAGGCAAGATTAATTTATTTTTTGCCAATTGAGGATAGATTATTTATTTTCAACATTTTTGATGACAGATTATTTATTTCCAAACTCTGCAGCCCCCCTTCCCCTTCAGAATCAAATGGTTCTCCTCCAGAGCCCCCCCCCTCCCCATTTTTTTAAGTGACTTGTATGGATTTCAGAATGTTGCCATAATGTAAGAGGTCTAATTAAGAGCCATAGCGCATTTGATAGGCATTTTCGCCCACTCTACTAGTGATTTCTTAAATTCATTGTTTAACCAAAATTTTGTCATACAATCTTAGTTTATACATGCGTAAATCCAAACCACACAGTAATGATATTTCATTATTAATTGTTCCCTCATATGATATATATGAAAATTATCCAGTTTGTATGGAGTGTATAGTAAATATTGAAGTATCTACCTAAAGATGACAAACTGTTGCCAAAGACCACCCTTAACCAGAAAAACAACTTTTGAATAATTTTATTTGGATATGACTGCACTTCATTACATTTAGATAATTTTGGTTAAAGGTGGTCTTCATATTGAAAATGATGAAAACATATATTCAAATTTTCTTCTCATATAATCGTAAGATTTAGCAATCTGTCTTAAATTTATCCATTCGACGTCATTGACTTCGTTGGCGCAGTGGTATGATTGCTGGAATGTAAATATGGTGATTGCGAGTTCGAGTCCCACATTTTTCCATTTATGCTTTAAAAAAAAAAAAATTCTTTGTGTATCTTTTCTATGTTTTTCTTTATTACGTTTTATAATATACATAATTTTAGAATATTATAATATACACATTACACTTTGAAAGTATCTCGGGAAAAGACAGTCCTAAACTATTTTATTAAAGTTTGCAAATTTATAGCTACTTGTTTTATCTTTAATGATTTTCTAAATCTTTTGTCTCAGAATTAGAGTATTGAACAAATTAAATGATTGTCATATGACATACTTGCAACTATGAAAATATAACACTCGTCCTCAAATCATACTGATTTTGAATTGAAAAGGTATATCTATAAATAGAAACAGGTGATTTCCTTTTAAATTCTTGACTTGGCCGTGTCGCCGGAGAGGCAGCTATGGCTCTTTGCTCTAATAACTTATGAAATGAAGAATTTTGTTTAGCAAGTATTGTCCATCTTGGTCTGTGTTTCCTTGTGCAGACATTTACTCTGTGGCAGACACACTAGATGTAGAAATATGTGTCAAGTTGATCCACTAGCTTTTTTAGGAATCTTTGTAAACTGTCAGGCTTGAGTACTATTTCTTTGTATGAATTCTTCTGAATTAAGTCAATGACCTGTGTTACTCCTTCCACCCTCTCTGTAGATTTTGTATGTAAAATGTACTTGTTGAATGAAGGAAAGTTAACATCAACTTAAGTTTTTGTAAATTCTTGATTTTTTCACATAATCTTAAATGACTGTAAGCACTACATTGTATAGAAAACCAAGAAACATCACAATGTGTGAAATAACTTATTGGAATGACAGTGATCAAACTGACTGTTTACACTGTACATGATATTGTATACATTGGGTGAATTATAGGTGTGTAAGAAGGTATGAGGGACATCTGAACAGATCTTTTCCCTGTGGAGTGGATCTAAGTCCTTGTGGGAAATATGTTGTTACAGGTGCTGAAGACAGATGTGTAAGTATAACTTTAAATAATTTTTAAAAAAAATTTAAAAAGTAAAACAACAATAAAATACTTTTTGGGTTATCCTAATTCATTAAGGAAAAGTGATCTGCAACTGCAATATCCATGTCAGTTAATGTTTGTTTTTCACTAGTGCACATTTAATTGAGAATTTTAGGTGTGTATTGATGATTTTAGGTGTGTGTGTATTGATGAATTGAGGTGTTTGTGTATTGATGATTTAAGATGCATATTTATTGATGATTTTAGGTGTTTATGTATTGATTTGTAATGATTTTAGGTGTATGTGTATTGATGATTTTAGGTGTTTGTGTGTTGATGATTTAAGGTATATGTACATTGATTATTTTAGGTGTATGTGTATTGATGATTTTTAGGTATATGTGTATTGATGATTTTAGGTGTTTGTGTGTTGATGATTTAAGGTATATGTACACTGATTATCTTAGGTGTATGTGTATTGATGATTTAAGGTATATGTACATTGATTATTTTAGGTGTATGTGTGTTGATGATGATGATTTTAGGTGTATGTTTATGTGTTGATGATTTGTATTGATGTATGTACATTGATGGTTTTAGGTTATGAGTATTGATGATTTAAGGTATATTCACATTGATGATTTTTAGATGTCTGTGCATTGATGATTTTAGGTGTATGTATATGACATCAGAGGAGGAACTTATTGCTCTAAACTGACAGGCTTCACGGATACTGTGTCAGCTGTGGCGTTCCATCCTCTCCATTCTCAGGTTAATTGCTGAACTTATATCACTCTTGTTAACTTTTAGAGTTTTTCATTATTGATTAAATGGTAACAAACAAACATTTATCTGTTTCTTTATTGTCATCGTCTTGTTGAATCCTTGTTTTTTTTCAGTTGATGACAGCCTCCTTGGATGGGAAGCTGAGGCTCTTTACAGATTAAATCTTAATATGTCTGCACATTAAGATGTTCATCTCAGGTTTTGGATGCCAATACTCCAGAGGGATCTCAAGTGAAAATGTTAGACAGAATTTTCAGAAAAGCTTAAAAATATTTCAAGACTGTCACTGAAATATTTCGATTGTGTACTTTAAGAAATAACTGCATTGAAGTACGCCAGTTCTCTGTTTGCTCTTCACAATTCAGTGCATTACAGGATATGCAGAAAGAGTTTCTAAGGTCTAGAATATATGTTATACATGTAGATGTGCCAACCTTTATATGTAATTACCCACAATGTTGTCACTGGCATTACACCATCCAGTTTTACACTGTATGTATTAAAATAATATAAACAACTGTGTTTGTGAGTGCTTTACCAGTAATTCCATGAAAAGGTGTTAACCTAGACTGAATTTTTTTTTACTAAATTCAGTTTTAAAAGTGAAATGAAAATGTAAGTGATTGTAGTTGAATTATTTCTTATTTAGCATTGAAAAATGGGGAGAGATAAACAGGAGAAAGGCTGTCAACACTTAATTACTATACTTGGCCAATTGTCTTCAAATTTCATAATGAGTAGGAGATAAGATGAACATGTGAATTTTGCAATCATTATACCCCTGAGACTAAGGAAGGGGCAAAAATTGCTAAAAATAGCAAAATTTTGAAAATCTTCTTCACCTATCTAAAAGTAAAACTGAATGCATGGTAAGGAAGAGCACTCTACCAACATTGATTATTTCATGACCTACATGGCAGGGGTTCTGCCTCCAGAGTGGAGTCAAAATTATATTTATAATGAAAATACACATTTAAAATCTTCTCTTAAAGATAAACTACAGTTGAACTTTGGTATCTCAAACACCGATATCTCAAATACCATGGATATGTCGAAGTGATTTGAAAGTCCCAAACACTTATTCCTTGAGTATTATACCTTGGATATAATCCATGTCATAATCCATGTTCCTTGGAAGTGATTTGAAAGTCCCAAACACTTATTCCTTGAGTATTATACCTTGGATATCTTGATGTATTTTCTTGGACCCATTGAGTTCGAGATAATGAGGTTTGACTGTAAATGGTTAGAAAGTCATGAAACCCTCTACCAAAATATGTGTAGTATTTTTCGTGACCCACAGGGCAGGGGTTCTTCTAGGGCCCAAAATTCAATTATTAATTGTCATATACATTCAAACCTCATTATCTTGAACTCAATGGGTCCGAGAAAAAACTTCTATATACCTGAGGATTTGACATCCAGGGTAAAATACTTAAAGAATAAGGGGTTGAGACTTCCAAATCACTTTGACATATCTTTGGTGTTCGAGATATAAGTGTTCAAGATACCGAAATTCTACTGTAGTGGAAACGTACATATAAGTTGGAAAATATTTTTCTTATTTCCTGCACATCTTGAAGGACAAAAAAATGATGATTAAGAAGAGCTTGAATACCACTACCAAAATTTAAAATTTAAAAAAAAGTCACGTGACATCTCAGGGTATGGCGGCTTAATCTGAGCTCCAGAGTTTTTTGGTCAATTTAGGGCATTTCTAGAAGGATTTAATATTCGTACCTTGGTTTATTGTGTCCTTTTGTGCCTGGAGAGTGTTATTTGTGATATTTGTCCATATTTCTGCATTTACAATGCCGTCAGACACTAGAAGGAAAACCGGGGCAAGTTCTAAAAATCAGACTGAGGAGTGTTCACAGAAGAATCCAGGTAACACAAGGTCGCCTAGTTCTCCCAGTAAAAACAGTGTGATAGAAGAAACGTTAATCGGTCTATTGTTGACAGCTCTCGGTCTCACTCTAATGACAAGGAAGCTATAAGAAATGATCTATGGGAGGGTGATCAGAGCGTAATTTCAAAAACAAGAGTTGCAGTTTTGGGTGGGACCAAGTGGTCATAGCTTGAGAAAGTCATGATCCCCATGTGATCATAAAGGCCCATGGGCCTCTTTTCAAAGAGGTTCTACAGCTTACAGAGATTTTTTTTTTTTTTTTTTGCTTACATTTTTACATACTGTTAGTTTATCCTCTTTCTCTTTGACAAATTAAAATTAATCAATATGAAGAAACAAATTGATTGACATGTACAGGAATAAAATAAAATCATTATAGTTGGCAAAGAAAATAAACATGAGTTATGAAAGCTCTTTAACCAACTTTAACAATTTTACACAAAGATAAAAGTTAGTAAAAATATACACAGTAAAGAAATATGTTATAACCATAAAAGACAAATGATCATTTAAACATGTACTGGATGGTAATTGGTGCTTACATCAGTACATTGTATAATGATAACCACAGGCACTTGGGGTATGGACTCCCCCCCCCCCCTTTAATTTTTTAGCTCACCTCAACGACGATGGGGGAGCTTATGTAATACCCTCGGCGTCGGCATCCCAGGTTAAGGTTTTTGGAGCAGTTTTCTTTTCAAGTACTTCTATGGCCTACGTTAGTCAGAGATGCATGGAGGATGCTTCTAGTGTGTTTCATTGTACCAGTCAAGGTTTCAGATGCTGCAATTTCAGTTAAAGAATGACCAGGTTAATGTTTTTGGAGCAGGTTAAAGTTTTTGGAGCAGGTCTCATTTCCAAGTAACTTGCATGGATGATACATCTAAGGATACACACTACTGGACTTGCTTCGGATGCTGGATCTGACCTATATTTTCTGGATGAGTGACTAAGTTAATGTTTTTGGAGTAGATCTCATTTCCAAGTAACTATAAGCCCTATATTGACCAAACTTGCATGGATGATACATCTAAGGATGCACACTACTGGACTTGCTTCGGATGCTGGATCTGACCTATATTTTCCGGATGAGTAAACAGGTCAAATTTTTTGGAGCAGATCTCATTTCCAAGTAACTATAAGCCCTATATTGACTAAACTTGCATGGATGATACATCTAAGAATGCACACTACTGGACTTTCTTCGGATGCTGGATCTGACCTATATTTTCCGGATGAGTAAACAGGTCAAATTTTTTGGAGCAGATCTCATTTCCAAGTAACTATAAGCCCTATATTGACTAAACTTGCATGGATGATACATCCAAGAATGCACACTACTGGACTTGCTTCGGATGCTGGATCTGACCTACATTTTGCGGATGAGTGACCAGGTTAAAGTTTTTGGAGCAGATGTCATTTTGAAGTAACTATAAACCCTATATTGACCAAACTTGCATGGATGATACATCTAAGGATTCACACTACTGGACTTGCTTCAGATGCTGGATCTGACCTACATTTTACGGACGAGTAACCAGGTTAAAGTTTTTGGAGCAAATGTCATTTCCAAGTAACTATAAGCCCTGTATTGACTAAACTTGCATGGATGATACATCTAAGGATACACACTACTGGACTTGCTTCGGATGCTGGATCTGACTTACATTTTCCAGATGAGTTTTTGGAGCAGATCTCATTTCCAAGTAATTATAAGGCCTATCTGAACCAAACTTGCATGGATGATGCATCAAGGGACGAACAATCTCAAACTTGCTTCGGATGCTGGATTTGTCTTACATTTTCTGGATGAGTGACTAGTTTTATGTTTTCAGATAAGTCTATTCCCAAGTAACTGCAAGCCCTATCAGACCAAAATTACATAAATGTTGCATCTAGGGATGCACACTCCTAGATTATTAGTTTAGTGTGGGACTTTGCCTTACTTAAAGACAACATTCGTTGAGGTGACCTCTGTAATCTCTGATTACCTATGTTTTTCTTTTTAAATGGGGTCGAGTCACCTTTTTCCTATTTTTGTATTCTAATTTGCACTATATGTTGTCGATAATGTAACCCTTTTGTCTCTATAAGCTGTTTTTAAATATATCGTTTTTGACTTGTTATAGTGTTAGATTTATTAATTTATTTAATAAATCTATTATATATTTCATATGTTTTTAATTTGTAAATAAATGCATTGCAAATGCATCTTTAAAGGTCACCCAAGTAGAACAGGCAGTACCTGGACTTAATTATTATTGCCTTGGGTTATGAAGGTTCTGGTCTTTGGTTGGAAGTATTCATTGTTTTCATTGGTTTGGATTTTGTAAGGTTGTGTTCAGTATTTTTCCCTCCAAAAGTTATTGTTTGTTATGGTCATTCTTTGTCTAGTCTTTGACCAGAGAGGGTTTATACATGAACTTATTTACAAAGTTGTGTATTTATGACTCTTTGACATTGACAAGACAATATTTTTCTCTATTAAGGTAAGTTAATATTTATATACTAATTATAATATGATTTCTAATATTTGATTTAACTGTAAATTCTGTAATTCTACACAAGTTAATCCCATAGCGGCGTGATAGCACTTTCACAGTTAGAATCTGATTTGAGAGATAGCATTTAAAAGTAACTGTTTTATTGACAGTAGTGTTTATTTTAAATATGTAAATATTTTTATGATTATAAGTTTACTTATGTAAACTACGATAAACTACTGGAGTATTGACACTCAAATTGAGTACACTCCACAAAGGGAAGAAGAAGAGAATTTGTAGTTTTATGCTCTGGACATATATTGAGCCATATTACTGACTATGATGAATGAGAGAGGCTCAGTCCCATAGATTAGTCAGTCATTCTACAAAAACATGACCAATTAAGAATTTTTCATGTCGGTTACAAATTTACCGTTGTAATATCTGAACTATAAATTTAAAGATCGATTTCAACTCTAAGACTTAACATACACACATGGTTTTGTAAATATTTACCGATATATATGCAGTTAAAGTTTTGATATGAACATATGATAATGTAATGTGGTTCTGAGCCCTTTTTCCCTTATCCCCACCTCCTTTTTTTTTTTTATTTATTTCCTTTCATTATTTCACTTTATTATACCCCCCGCTAACGAAGTTTAGGGGGGGTATATTGGAATCAGCATGTCCGTCTGTCTGTCCGTCTGTCCGTCTGTCTGTAGACGAGATTTTGTCTGGACCATTTCTTGGAAACTGTTGGAAGGATTTGTCTGAAAACTTATACACTTATTATTCACCATATGAAGGTGTGCACCTGGTATTTTCATTATGATTGGATAATTATTTTGCATTTTACAGGTGTTTTTTTCATTTTTATTATTTGGTTTTGTCTGGATCTGTTCCCAGAGACTATTGCATAGATTTGTATGAAAATTTGTACACTTATTATTCACCATATGAAGATGTGCACCTGGTATTTTCAACATTATTTGATAGTTTTTCTGCATTTTACAGGTGTTTTTTTTTAAAATTTTTATTGACTTAGTCATTTCGGGTTCATGTCTAAGGTTTGAGACATAGAATCTAGAACATCTGTACAAAAATGTGAACTACAGCTTAAAAC